TGATCTTTTTCACCCTTTTAATTTTAAATTACAATGTAATTCTCTGCATTGGTATTACACTTATTTTCTACAGAACATTAGCTACAAGACTTTTGTACAGAACCCTAGGATGCTTATTTTTATGTACGTATATGTATATGTTCCAATAAATCTTCAAAAAACTTCGCAAGTCTTTTTGTTTCTTTCCAGTTCTTACAGTTGACATCCACTATCTCGAACTCTGAAGGGAAACGAACAATTATTCGAGATAGGGAATGTTCGAGTTATCGGATGACCCCAAAAAATCGAACTTTTTTTCAAATTTGGAAAGTTTAACAGGCAGCAACAAAGGATATGTAATCACTGATACAAAATTACAAGTCAGATCAGCATCCAATGTCATTTGTTTTATCTTTCTAACCAGTTCCTCTCTATAACACCATTCATTTTTAACGAAATGCTCACGGAGCGCTTCTCCATTCTCTGAGAATAGGCAATATCTTGATAATACCTCAATCGCATCTCTTATTTCGTCCGTTGTTGGCTTTGTCAAAGAGTTGTCGTTGCTTTCTTGGCTGTCCTCTTGGCTTTCTTCTTGGCTGTCCTCAACTTCAACAACGTCTTCACCAATCAGCTCAGCTATGATTTCATCTTCAGTTGGCAATGCTGCTCTTGCTAAAACTTGTTCGTCGCAGTCAATAAATTCCTCTGCACTTGTGTTGGCTCGAGCATTCTCTTGATCTCTATTTTGCAGTTTCGTCAATTCTTCCACCAAATCTTTAAAGGGTCATCTTCATATGATGCTGCTTCATGTTGATTTTCGGAAGAAAGGCCAGCTTTGACAAAGCAGTTAACGATTGTCGTTTTAGATACTATAGACCACGATGCGGCAGATATGTCCATTGCATCCAAAATGCTAATTTTTGTTGCAATGCATTGACTTGACTTTTGCTGATCAATTGCTCTGATGTATTTCTGCACCAAAACTGTTCGTTACTTTGCCTTTAAACTTCGGATTACCCCTTGATCCATTGGCTGTGTCTTAGATTTTGTGTTTGGTGGCAGGAACACAAGCTTGATTGCTTTCAGGTTCTCTACTTCTGGATGTGCTGGACAGTTGTCGACAACAAGAGCAACCTTTCGTTTCTATGCCAGAAATTTACGTTTTTGTTTTCTGACAAGCTGAGCTTGTCTTTTGTATGGTTTTAAACAAACATTACTAATTGCTTCCAAAGACAAAGTCCATGTTTCGATGATCAGTCCAAATTTAATTGTGTCCCTCAGGTGAAATTTTGGATACCAATATAGACATTGGATGCAATTTTGAGATGAAGAGGAGGACATTGTTAAGGAGGGAAAGGGGCTAAGAGATGCAGACAACAACCTTCTTACACCTTCTTGATGACGAAGACAATAGGGTTACTTAATAGGGGTTTTTTAAGAAAGACTCTGTTAAGTTGCATGAGCCCTTTTGACTTTAATAATGCTCAGACATAGTTGAGTGAAAAGGTTTTACACTCTTGTTGTACTATGTTTGTTAAACACCTGTTTCTTGATTGGACTTATTTCAACACAAGCAGAAACTCACTTAAATATATAGATACCTTCCAGTCCAAATAAACTCTAAATGTCAAAGAAACTTACTATTACATACAAAATTATGGCCAGATTAAAATATGAAGAGAATTAAATTCAATCCAAGCGAAGGTTAAGGGACTTTGGTTTAGTTCTGTAGAGGGGCTGGATGGATGGTTAATCACGGAGCCGACTATGAAAATTTTATGGACACTTCCCACAGTAGCAACAAAGAACTTTGCAGATCATTATGTTTCTTTTACTTTGCACACCAAAAGGTCCAAACGGAGACTGCCATTTTGCTACTTTGTCTTAAACGTGCCTGTATACTTTTTACAGCAAAGGGCCACCATTCACACCCAGGCTGATCGTTTGTTAACATACCCCAACTTTTTCTGATCTCAAACAAAAATAAGCAAAAATTATTACACGCATTTTTTCATAAGAAACAGGCTATAAGAAACGGTAAGCTCAAGAAACCTTTATAATTTCCGGTTTCATTTTCCGAGTTGACACTCGAAACAGTCTTGACATTGAACAACACTACACTTGACATCAACTTGACATTGATGAAGTTCAATGAGTTTAACTCTTTAGATCTCAACAGATCTAAACTCAAAAGAGATCTCAAAAGATCTCAACAGAATTAGTCATTCTAGGAAAACAAAATTCCTTGAGCACTTTGTTAGGGCACTTTTTCAGATGCCCCTTTGAGAGTCTTGAATTTGATAGGGAGGATAACAACTCTGCATCAGCTAAGAGGCCGTTCCACAATCTTGCACCTCTGTAAGAGAACGATATTTGCCCGTTTGAGGTATTTTTCTGTGAGTGGAATAGTGAAAATTTCTGGGAAACATCTTTTGCAATTTATGTGGAGCAAAGTTGCTGAGGGACTTAATACACCTTTGTTTATCATTCTTCGAATTAGCACATTACATTAGTTTATCTCTGAATGTGAGTGAACTATTTACTTTACCTTGAAGCACTCGGACCTTAGCTTCTTATAAAAAACCGTCTACAACCAAAGAGATCTAGCTGCTCGTTTCAATTTCATAACAGCTGAAAAGTGCTGTAAGATGTAAACAAGGTGATGTGTTTGGGTCATTGTGCACTTATGATTTTTTTTCACATCTTGGTATACCTATTGTTAAAAAGGTTTGTTATTATTAACCGTTATTACCACAGTGATTTTTGATACGTATCACGTGACTTATGATAAGACGTATAACGTTGGTATTGATAATGTTTGAGGGACTTGGATATTGAGCGGATGGAGATAAGGTGACTTGACCACAATAGACGACGAGGGAACCGACACTTGAATCGAGGGGTGTATCACTCCATGAAAAAGCGTACGAGATCTTTTCGGATTTAAAAATCCGTCAATTTCGGGTCCGGATTTGCGGATTTTTTCAAATTTTTAGAAAATTTTTCGGATTTTTCCTCTGAAAATCTCAAATAAAGACATTTAGCTCCATTATGTCTCCTTGCTTGACAATTCCGATTATCACCAAATGTTAGTTGGCACATTTTATTTATTCTTGCAGTTCTGTGAAAAGAACTTATCAAAACATTATCAAAACAAGTTATTAAGCCATGTCCTTTTAACTTAAAATATAACCCGACGAAGCAACTATATCAAAAGTATAACGATAATGCAGGGGGGTGGACAGGGTGTCAGAAACACTCCGCCCACCTCGAGATTCTTCAAAAAATGATGAATTTGAATTCATTTGACGCATACCATTTTAAAATACATTCTATCTTCATTCCAACGATATCAAGTTTTGGCACTTTCATTAAACCATATATTACTTAATGGACCATTCAGCTATTCCACAAAAGAGTCTGGATCGAGTCATCTTTTTATACAATGGCTCGATTGAGTTGCGTTAAAGTTCTTAAAGTTATCGTTTTGTCATCTCACCATGCTTGAAAATTTTAAACTATGGTTTTGGCTACATTTTCCTTGGTAGCTCTTGCCTTTTTATTGCCCTTTAAGCACGAAAATGACAGTATTCTCCTTAACAATGACTTGGAAGGATCATCTTCTCTCCTAAAGAGGCACTGGTCTCCAGGCTTTCCAATGTTACGTTCTCGTTACGTTGCGCATCTGCGGTGCCGAGATAGGTTTTTGCGAATCAAGGATTGGTGGCTTTTTCGCGTTTCTTTTTGTCAAGGAAGGGATTGTTGGTGTACAAAAATAAAGGGACTGGAAGAAGAACTCGTGCTACCAAAGATGAATGTCAGCCAGCAAGGAACTATGATGAGGAACGGTAAAAGCAACAACAACGGAAAGTCTCTGTATTCACTGCACCGAATCATCCAGATGATCATCCAGATCATCCATCGTATCTTTCGATGATGTATTTGATTGATCCAAGATATTTTCATCCAAAATGTAATTCCGTTATGTGATTCAACGCTGATGTTGCCAGAGTTGGCCTTATTTCTTTGACTTGGTACCGGACATTTCTTGCACATTTCTGAGTCTGATTGGATTTTCGGAATTTTGTTTTCTTTGTGGATCTCTGGATTTTTGAAAGGATTTTAGTGGATTTTTGCGGATTTTTGGCAGGGTGTACGAGGATTTTTGGAGTGATACACCCCTCGACTTGAATAGTATGGGAGTATGCTTGTATAGCAGCCAGTTATTTGGAACACGGAAAAAGACTCTTTTTGGACTGGATCTTATTATACTCTACTTATTATACTATAAGACTTTATATTCAACTTAATCGCATTATTCATATATCTTATTCAAGTAACTTATATTCGTATTAGTCTCAGTTAATCTTATATTCGAATATTTGGTTCGGTTTTACATGGAATCAGTTTCTTGGAATAGCCGTAAACCAACCCTTTAACACTATATAGAAGAAACTTTGCTCGTATATGATACGGGTACCGATTTTTAGATCAACAATGATTCGAAACTAGAACTTTTGAAAGCACTTATTGGCTGCAGGCTCATTCTTTCTTGCTTGAAAATCTTTATCTATTCAGAACAATAGTTGCAAATCTTGCTTCACCAGCTGCATTTCATGTTTTTGCAAAAAACTGATATTTGATTGTAATCTCCTCGTGGAAAAAATTATGCCTATGAATTATTTCAATGGACTGGCTTTGCATTTAAATACTTTGCATTGAATATTTTAATGAATTCAAGTATAGAAACATATTCGCATTGTGTAGAAATTATATTGACAAAATTTATTTCCTGCCTCTTTTGCAGTAATTGGAAAAAGCTAGTACGGGTAGAAATATTTCTGAGCGAATTTTTCTATCCAATGAATAGTGTTTGTTTGAAATTTCTTGAGCTACACTCTTTTTTATAAGAACAATTTTATAAGAACACGAGCCTCAAAATGGGTCAAAATTTAAAAACAAATTAAGAACAAGCTGAGGCTGAGCTACTGTAAAATGAAGTTTTGAACAACGTTTTATCTCAAAAACGAGGATTTTCAGCCATGTGTGGGTGCTTTTTCGGTGAATATTAAAACATGGCGGCAAATTAAGTTTGTCTCTACAGACTTTGTTGGCAAAAGAGGCCTGAACACCTCCCCAGAACGAAAAGCTAGAAATCGCACTGCTTATACCCTATAAATTTAAGAACAAATTAAGAACAATCCAGCCTCAGATTTTCGGAAAAATTAAGAACAATCAGCGTGAACTCAAATTTACTGGTTCCTTTAAAAAAGTGTGTATTTTTATTGAAAGTCGGCCGGGAAATAAATCGGGAGGGAGTAGAAATAGCTCAAAAGCTGCGTAGGAATAGTCCTTGAGCTACGGAGGCCCAGCGCCATAACAACAAACAACAGCAACAAAATGCCAAAAGCCTTTCTTGACTACACTGGTAAATTCACTTCTGACTTCACGTGAAAATTAAGAATTATGATAAGGTTTAAAAGAAATCCAAAAATCCACGAAAGATATAATCTTCTAACTGCACCAGCCTTAAACTTAGATGAAGATGAAAAGAAGCAAGGAGGTGGTGAAGAGTTCGCTACATTTTTAAGGTTGGTGTTTGATCGTGTTTTGATTCATCGAACTTCTCTAATTAGTTTAGATTTGCTTTGCAATTAGGCATCTATTTATCTGCGGTCTATCATTGCTGGTGATAGAATAGACTACAATTTATCGGATATTATCCCTTATTTTTAAATTAGGCCAATGGAGCTGTAGTTACAGATGTTAACTAAACGGTCGCGACCGGATTTATTTATTAAGGTTTGAAGGCACCTGCTAACTTTTCTTTATATGTATCACTTCCCTTTTAGGTTGAGAAAAACCCAAAATCTCATAAGTTTTTTAAACTTAAAAGTTGTTAGATTTGTTTTTAAAGGTAGTTTATTTTCAGCAATTTTCACCTGTAAGTAGTGATCTTTGACACAAATCGTGTGATCATCTGGGCACGCAAGGTGCGAATTTGTTAAATTGCATACAAATGATTTTTCGCTTTTGTCCCAATAAGTGTAAATCCTTTGGTGTAAATTTGGTATTTTTTGTTGTTTATTTTCCGTTTGAGAATATATCATGGGTCTCTTATGAACTGTTATATTTTTTACAGATATCTGATAATTTTTTCAGCAAAATGAAAAGCCTAATCTATTTATATTGTTTTCTGTGCTTCCTTTGAATCAAGATTTGTGAAGTAAACACATATGGTATTTTTTTCAAATGATGAAATACACTTTGTGCTGTGTATAGAGGGGCTCTGGGAAGAAGCACCCAACCCCTGACCTTTTTCATCCCCCTACTAACCCTCTCCTTCTGAATTTTGTAGCCTTGATACTGCAGGGACCTCGTGACAAGAGTGGGGGCTGGGTGGCTTTAGATATAGCTATGTCAAAAAACTTAAAGGATAAAGAATTGGGAACATAGTCAAACCTCTTTAAATTGGGTTCAAAAGTTACCTGCCTATTATTCAGTAAATTTGAATTACCAGATCTTTGTCATCAACAAAGCAAAGCTCTCAGTCAACTGGCTCAGGTGGTGTTGCAAGGTAAGCATTTTAATTGTTTCTGGAATATCTTCACATTTTCAATTTTGAATAGCTGAAACCCGTTAAATAAGAATGAATCATTGAAGATGATAAAAGTCATACTTTCATCAAAAATCTTTTCAATAGAATACTTTATAAAGCTTAAAGCTACCTATCTCACTAGAAAAAGAACTTCCCTCAAAACAAAATTTATTTCCAGCACCTTTTTCAAGTTTTCTTTTAGCTGCTCAACATATTATAGGCAATTTTTTAAAATAATGACCACTATGACACCAAAGCCAATTTATCTACAACCCAAGTGTCCTTATTCTTAGAATACATGCATTGATTTGATTGATATGTTTGCTCGGAACATTGTTTCAGAGCAGACATTGTTCCAAATTGTTAGTAACAAGGAATGTTTCTGGTTGGATGGCTTATCACCTGCACCCAAGATGTTTCCAAGAAATTAGCATCCTTGAATTTCAATTAGTTTTAAGCATGCCCACTTCTTACTTTATAACCACATATAAAAGTTTCATTGTTGGTTTTCAATTGTATAGCTGAAGAGTATTTTCAGAGATCATTCATTGAATAAAAGATTTATGTGTGTGTGCTTAATGGCTACTCTTTGGTTTTTGGTGTTAATTATTTATGATGCATGGCATGTCCATAGATCAGGCTATTCACAGCTATTGTTTTCAACTACTTAATCAACTTACTTTCAAATTCAAATATGATTTGCAAAGGTGTAAATTTTTTGACCTGATACCTTGTTGCATACTAAAGAAACAAGAAGATTCTAAAGCCAGCCAATTTTTTGTGAACCTTCAGTTGTTAAAACGTTGTGGTACAACTGCTCGCATGAAATCATGAATTGCTGAAAACAATGATACTCTAGTTGTTTTGTCTTCTTGAAACCACATACTAGATTTACAACATCTCTCAACCTGTTGTCAGCTGTTGTTTGGCGTGTTTTTATCTGGGGCTGTTTGACTTGAGAAAACAAACCAAAAAATGCAAAAGCAATGAAATGCAATTTATCATGACCAGTTCTCATTGGCCTTCTGTTTTCAGCCCACCCAGGCCCCTGGCTTAAGCCCTTTTAAATCTATAGTTTGTCTTTAACTGGAACTTTTAACCATCTAAACGTCTGAGTTACCAATCTATGTTATGATTATGTGAAGAGCTATTTTCAGGAAAAAGTGATTTTATGGGAAATTATTTTATGGGAAAATGAATAGAATAAGAGAGAGTCTTTTTTCAGACTCTTTCTTCAGTTAAAGAAGTCACATTTTTAAGAAGAATCTGTGTGAATTTTCTTTGAAAATCTTTTTCATGGCAGAACAAAGTTTTCAAATGTTGGTTCAAAGTCATTTGACAATGAAAAGTCAAAGTCTGATTTACCTGGCTACCAACCAAGGCAAGGGGGTGGTGTTGCTGCAATTATGCAGCTCAAAAGCAAGAATCAAGAGATCCATGATAAACAGCTCAAAGTGATTGAAGTAAGCAACATAACTCAATTCTGTTTTTTTATTTCTTGAAAAATTACTGTTGACCTTTCAGAGGCCTTTCCAAGGATCATTGATAAGGATGTAACTTTGGTTTTAAATGACAACATGGGAAATTGAATATTTTTGTGGAGGATCAAGGGAACATATCAACAAAATATTGGAGAGTTTTCTAGGAACACAAAGAAACAATTGCGTGCATGAGAGATTTTTTAAAATTTTTAGGGAACATTGGAACAAAGACCCCATTGAGGGGGGTGGGTGCAGTTGTCAGGGACAACCACTTGAACTTTTGAAAGGCATTTAGCCCTCCTCATTTCCAGAATTCTCATTATATTTGATTAATTTTCAATATTTTTTGCAATTTCAACATTCTATTATATTGACAATTAGATATCAAACATTCTGAAAGTTTTCAGGGTTTTTGAATCTCCAGCTAGTTAAGAGAACTATAGCATCCATAAATTTAATGTTTTCATTCAAAAGGATCACATGTGGCAGCATAAGCAAGAAGAAAGAGAACTGAAACGAATAGAGGGTGACATTGTTAAGAAACAACGCCAGTTACGAAAAACTATGCAGGATTACGAGAGCGGTCAGTATCTGCAATTTTTATTGCATTTTAAACTGTAGTTGCTTTCTGGAAGTTTGTACAAAAATATAAAATATTTTATCAATTTATATACATATGGCACATTTAATAAAGAAACTGCAGGCAAATGATTAAGATGTCCATTTACAAGGAGCAGAAGTCATTGTCAAGGATACATTTCTGTCACAACCTAGGCTATGTAACCATTTGGCCGTTTTTGTACCGTTTCTATTTCTATCCATTTTTCTTCAACCATACTTCAAGAAAAATTCTATCACACCCAATTAACAGAAACAAGATGAACACGATGGTCTGCTCTTAAGAGATTCCTGGTATCTACCCTTTCAAGTTCTTTTGTTTGTCTCCGGTTGATGCTAGGGCTTTTTGAAAACCTCCGTTTTTGATCATTTTGGTCTTGAAAATGGCAGTCTTGAGAATGTGCATTTTCGAAAACTTCCTCTTTCTGCTGGTTTTTAATAGTCTTCAATTCTGATGCATTTTTGTTCGTTTCAGTTGATACAACTTGAACAACAACGTTTTTGTGTACCACAGATAGCACTTGAGGGCCCTTAGTCAATGTCTAGAGTTTTATACATGGGTCAGTTTCGAAGGATATATTGTTGATGGGCTCACTGCCGTGAATGATAAAAGGATCAAAAAGTCATGATACAGCCTAGCCTTTTCAAAGCCGTTCAATGAAAGTGTATTGTCTCTCATTGATTTTAGTGTTGCCAACACCCGTGTCCAATTGAAGTTCTTTTTTGTCATCATTTTCAAGATATCTTCTCTTTTGCTTTCTTTCATAGAGGCTCTGAATAAAGTTGTAAAATTACATTGAAAAATATCAACAAGCAACAATATGAATGTGTAAAAAGGAAAAACCCAGGATATGCTGTCCGTGGATTCCGTAAATTCCTCAATGATTAAAATACGAATGATAGTCGGGAACAAAACCACCGACGGTGAAAATCAAATGTAGTCAAATAGTATTTTAAAATAAATTAAATGTATTAAATGCTTCTATCTCGCCCCGTCATACAGGGTTTCATCAGAATATTTTTGAAATGAGAATCTGGGCAGCCAGAATCAAATTTTATGATGTAGAATGAATTGCAACTCAAGGTCCCTACAGCCATATATCAGAGTTTTTAATGAAAAGCAAATGTATGTATACCTAAGAAAAATTGGTATACTTTCATGCAGTTGGGCCGGTCTGTGCCCCAGTTGTGACATTTCGGCTATGTCCTGCCAATTTTTGTAAGACCCTCTTTTCTCAGGATTTATTTTGCCGTCACTATGAGGATTTGAACACGATTGGCGACTGTCCCCATGTTTAACTGTCTTCTCAATTTCCCCACGTATACGGTAACAAGGCTAATGTCTGTAGCATCCCGTATTTGTGGGGTTCTATTGTATATGTCTTTGCATGTTCAAGGAATTTTTTTTCTTTTCTTTTGTGACGTTATATTGCCTCCACCGTCACACCATTGGATGGTCTTTCAGGATTTACTTCCTGCGTGTAAATTTCCCGGAGATTCTGAAAGAACACCTCAAATGTGGACTGACTTTCCTGCATGCTTGTAGCTGCTTGTTTACTTGTGTGACTGCTGCTTCTGGTAGTTGAACAATACGGTTTTAGATGACACTCTGTAGCAGCAAATGTAGACTGTCAATATATTGTTTTTTTATTATTCTTTCAAATATGAAGGTTTTTCGTGTATGGATTATTAATTTACTCTTGAAGTTTCTTGTTCTGTTTGTTGATTGCTTTATTTTTACCAAAAATTATTTTACAGCGGTGTACAAAAAACAAAGAGAAGAAGAAATACAAGCGCTGAAGGCAAAAGGTGATCTAGAGAAGATTAAGCAAGATGCTGCTGCGCAGGAGAACAGGGTAGGTACTCATTCATGTCTCAGATTGGATGTTTTTTCTTTAGTGGCAAGCAGGTTATTCCCTATAAGAACGTGTCGCGTAGCTTGACCTTTCAGACTAAAGGGGTAGAGGGACATTAGATGATATTTCACCTACTGATTGGCGACTTTACTGACCAACTAAAGAATTTGTTGACCATTGAAGATTTACCGATCAATTCATAAAGAATTGGGTGTCAAACTCGCTAACCCCTCCCCCGCCCCCACTGCTAGTTATGCTCCTGATACCAACACAAAATCTAGCTTTAGATGAGCTGCCAATATAGGAATCAATTTTTAGGAAATGGGAAATAATTTGATAAAGATGCAGTTATCAAAATAGAAAATGCAGTTATCGACTTTGAGCTACGAAGAGGAATTCTAGGACGTGAAACCAAAAACTTGATGGCATCTTCTTTTTGTTGATAGAAAAAAGTTCTAAAAAAATTGAAATCTGGGCAGATGTTTTAATGTTGTTTTTGCATGAATGGCGAACATAAGTTGGAGCAGTTGAAATTGAGGAATACCAACTAAGGATACAGTAAATAAGGAATACCAATTTAAGGAAAACATATCTTTATCCAAACATCATAGCGAATTAAGGTTATGGTTAATCGTCGTTCATTTCCAGAGCTCTCTAAGCTGTATAGATAACGCTTTACACGTTTCAGTTTTTAAAACAAGACTGGTTTCGGTTGCTTCTCAGAGTTTGACACTAAATAGAATGCGATCATCGGGCAACTTGTTATGCGAAACGCAGAGCATAAACTTGTTAACTGTAATTGTGTTTTTAATCTCGTTTCATTGAATATAACGTTTTCGACTGAACAAAAAGGCTTATTCTGTGTGACTGTAGGCTGAAATATTTTGCACAAGAGAATATGCACTTTGTAGGAAACAGCCTATTTGCTTTTACCACCAAAAAGCAAGGACTAAAGTGAGGCTTCATTATTTCTTCACAGCTGACGAGAGAGAAAATTGACAAAAATATTTCAAGCATACAGCGGTCAAAGGAAAGAGACAGAAAAGGCCAGACATCAATGTAAGTGACTGGTTTGAGCCGATTAAGTTCTGTGGAAATGTCAAATTGCCGATCTTGTGGCTTGTTTTGACACAAAACCATTTCTAACACTTTCATGTAGTCCTGAGATTTCGTCCTGTTTACAGCCCCATTGGACATGTACAACAAAACCTGCGAGGATTTCTATTAAATCATAACTTTCTTACAAAGCCTAAAATTGAAGTATTTTCATGTCTGTACCTAATGACCAAAAGCTGACTTATCTTTAGCGTTTCAAAGCAGGCTAGTTTTCTGTTATCTACATATGAGAATGATTTGTTTTAAGAAGCGTTACTCACCAATGAACGCTAAACTATCCCTCATTGAATCGTCTCAATGCATTGTGTCGTCAATTATGATTTCTTTTAGCATCTAGCAGCTCTTTTAGTCCCTAAGTAATAAACGTACTTTATACACATGTATGAGCTAGTTTGTTTCAAAAAGATAAAAGCTTTATCTCTGGCAAAAAAGGTAATATGTAAAGTTTTAAAGGCAAAGTAAAGTTTAAGATTGCATTTTGGTAGATCATATAAACAGAAGCAAGAGCTGACGTTTCCTTAAAAGCATTTTTTCTGAAAACTTTATTTTCAATGCACTCACATATTCATAAGGTGCAAGAAGCCTAAAGCATTCTCACACTGTTTTGTGTTTTTGGGGTGTATATGTTCATGTGTTTGACGGTCGTCTAAAAGAGTGCTCTTTGGTGCAGTTTCAAGCGTTTTCTAATGCAGGCACTTTGGTTTATCGAAAATATTTCATGCACATCCACTCCGCATGTCTAGCATTCAGTTTCTTTGGTTTTTAGTTCCTCTTTTGTACACGGTTGTTTTATTTCTCCGATAGAAGCTCACAAGAGTTGCAATATGAGCGGATTGCAGAAGAAATCAATAGGAGAAGGCTTGAAGTTGAAAGCATGACGAAAGAATTTGAGAATAAGATGAAGCTGAAAGAGGTAATTGTTTTTTCTTCTAGCTGGTTACAAAATGGCCAGCCAAGCTGTTTTGTTTATTTTATTGACATCATACATAGTTGATGGGTTTAAATGCGCCTTGAGCAATATCTGTCGTGGTTTTGAAAGGACAAGGCAGCCCGTCCCGTTAGCAAATTTTTACTTTTTGGCATTAATAAGAGAGCTCTATCTTCTGATTCTGCACTCGTGGGCAAAAAAAGTGTAGTTTTTCTAACTTGGTAATGATTTCTGTACCTTAGAAGGGGTCTGTTAGCCCCTGAATAGTTTCTTTAAGTCAGGAGGGACATTTTTTTAATTCGCATTTTTTGGTAAACCATCTTAAGGAGACATAATTTGATTACTCAGACGATGAAAAAAACATTCTACTGTAGTTGCGTTTATTTATTGTACTTTTGTGCTTTCCAGTCATATTTCCAATCGTTTTTGAATCAGTCGTTTCATCTCATAACAATTTATTTGTGGAATGGGGGTATTTTGATCCCAAAAAGAGTATTATTTAAAAGACATGGCTATATTTCCTAGGAAGAGGTGTACAAATTGCGAAAGGAGTTAGGAGAAATGGCTATCAGCATTAATATGGAATCCCAAAAGCAAAGAACGTTGAAGTATGATGAAGAGAAGTATGTCTTTGTGCTCATCATATCCTTATTAAAGACGAGATCATATTTAAATTTCAGTGTGGTGGACTGACAAGGACTTGTGCCCCATGCTCAACATTCTCCTTGCACTCAGGGACCTTGTTTTCTAGTCTAAAGTTTATCAATTACCACACGGGACCCTTTAATCTTAGTAGCAGCGTCCCTGGGAAAGTGATATCTTTAGCCCCCAATTATTTCCAAAATGTACTTAAGACCATACAAATAATTGCCCTTGTTTTGATTTTAAGCAAATTTAGCCTCCAAAATATTTAAGCCCACTCAATCTGTTTTGTGCTCCGCGGTCCTGGACATCATGCTCTTGTATCTGTATGGTTTGTCTCTGCTAGCCCTGTACCACACCTTTGATCAGCTTCAGGCCCTTTTACAATTCAGTTAAATATTATAGAGAACTGAAACTTTTTAATTTCAGCGTGTCTTTTATATAAAATCCTTTCCTTTTCAAGGGCGAAGACAGTCTCTTCAAAGCAAAATCTACTGGTATGAATTTTCATGTTTATTTTTACAGAATTCATTGAAAGGTCTAAGCCTCTGGCACAAAAAGAGTCACTTTGTGTTTGGTATTGCACTATATACGTAAGAAATCTTAAGATAAAATCTTGAAATGACAATAAAATTCTTTAGAGTATCATTTTTATACTGCTGCATCTATGAGAAGTACAATTTCTGTTTCAGGAAAAACGCAAGAGAAATGAAGATTATACAGAAAAAATGAAGTACTTATTCTCTCCTTTTCTCTATCTTCTAACAATGATATATAATATAGAGAAAGAGTTAAAGGCTCATTTGGCAATTGTCATTTTGTTTTCAGTTTAAGTTGATGTCAGCCACAAGATTTTATTCTAGGCTAGTTTTGAAATATTATTTTTTCCAATATATTTTTGCGTATTGGAAGGGTATTTCTATATTTCCTTGAGATCGATCGCCTCTCCCGGAATGCTGATCTCAGTAAATTTTATTTTCCTTCTCTTCCCCATTTCGTAGATTTTTTTATACTTACCCAGCACCTTTCTATAACCTGTGTGCAAATATAGACTTTTTAAAAACGGTGTATATTTGCCTGATGATCGCAATAAGCGTGAAACTCGAAGTAGCAGCATTGATCAATGTTGCATATGCATCACATTTATCATACCAAAGGGTGTGATAAAGCCTTTTATTAATGTCTATTAATATCAATGCAATCTTAGTAAATGAGATAGATCGTGAATTGAAATCATAAATTGTGGCAAAAACGATTACGTATATTCCAGAGACAGCATTCCCTTCCCAACATCGTCATTTCCAGGATTCCCTTCTTAACATCGATACTTTTTTTAGCGGAACCACTGCGAAGGCTTTGCAGGCCGAGAGAAAGCAACAAGAGCTAGATAAACACTTGGATACTACTTTAAACCACATCTCACTAAAGATTCGCGAAGGTAATGACTTCTTTCATTTTAAACCGATCTGGTTTTATCGTTTGGGTAACTCTGTAGGCTACAATTTTGGCAACATGTAGTGAGGGCTTTATACTGCAAGAAAAAAAAGAACCTCTGTGCCACGATTCTGTCCCATATTTCTGTCAAGCGTAATGGGCAATTATAGATAGGCATGTTTACACCAGTCGATTCATTTCTTTCTATTTCTTAAGATTGATAAGACAGTTTTTACGGTGGATTTTAGTCCTTTCCCTATATATTTTTATGTACTGTTTCAATTCGATTGCACGTTTGCACTCATTTGGCAATCTTAGTTTCTTGAATATGTCCAGCATTATAGATCGTACAAATTTCACTAATAGATCCATAGTTTCCATCTGGGTAATTTGCAGGAATCACTTGCAGGAATCAAATAATGAAATGACTTTGTGTAGAAATATCCTCCTTTGATGCCTTCCTGTCCTGGCAAAGACTCTGGGTTCCACCCACAACCCAGAGTCTTTGCCAGCTTTCTGTACTATCATCTCTAAGTGCTAACCCAGTAACAATCAGTAAAATGAGTACGTCATTATTTATTCCCTTCGTTCGTTACACCTAATAACTTTTTGTTAAATACGAAGGCAACTATCTTCTTTAGATAGTCCCTTTTCTGTTTTTCATTCCTGGGTTCTTTACAATGCAGTACTACAGTGAGCACTATGGACTGATCTGTTGGGTTTCTTTTGTCAACAAAGCCAGCCTTTTTCAATAAGACAGAGTTTGTCTTATCCATATAACTACAGGGTACAATTTCAGCAGCTTTTGAGCTTGCCTGACCCGCCAGAATATTGAAGTTTCGCCTAAGTGCCACTTTTTGATAGGACTGATGGCAACTTCTCAAGAAGCAGTCTTCTTATTAAAACTTGAGTTTGAAGCCTTGTTTTCTTGTGTAGTGCCCAAGTGCAATCTATCAAGATTTTTTTAAAGATTTTCCTCAACTCTTGCGATTGAAATATTGCATTGATTGAAAACCCATAAAACTCTCGTCTTGCAAAGATCATTTTGTCAACAACTAAGAGTCTGACCGCATAGAATCCCCTATGTACTTTACAATACTTTATACTTTTCTTGTTTAAGATTATACTGCTTTTATTGTAGCAGATCTCTTTAAGATTCATATAAAGTGTGCTGAGATAATATATCTAAATGTATAAGCTAAGCTAAGATAAAAATATCTAGGCGGCCATATTATAATTTTTCAGTTTTATTTGATCCTCCGCTTTTTTGTCAGAATTTTCTTACACCTTCCTCCTATTATACAAACACTTCTCGTGAACTACCGAGGGGCAACATAATACTTCATTTCAGATCAGATCCTTAAAGCCCTCAACTCCCTTTTTTGCCACTGCCAGTGTGTATACTTTAGATACACCTAAAGTATCAATGATATTTATAGTTTCTGCATTGTATTTTGTAGAGGGTCGAAAGTTGACTGATGTAAAATCACGATTGCAAAAGAACTCACAGCTACAGCGTGATGCTCAAAGTGACGCATTGCATGCTGCCTATAACAGACAGGCACTTGACAGTGATGAGAAAATCAAGGTAAAGTTTACGGCTTCAATGTTACCCTTTGAAAAACCCCAGGGTGATATTCATATATATTTAGGATAGGGGTGCTCAGGCTACTTTTTGGGCCAAAAATTTGAGCGAAAGTTATTTATTTTGGGTCAGCCATACAACTACTTTTTTGGTTTGTGAAAGGCCGAATTATTTTGTTGGAACTTGGATGTGAGGAAATTTTAAGAAATAGAGAAAAATATGGTTTACACACTAGCCATGATTTGTTTTTCATTGAATGCAGATGAAAACTTTAAAATCATAAGAGTATTCAGAATAATATAAGGAACTTCCACAAAGCTAACAACTAGCTGAGTCAAAAAAGAGCTACATTTATTTGATTTCTATGTGTCCATATCTGTAGCTGAGGGAATATTTTGAGAATTCGTACCCCGAAATGTTTCATTAACCAAGAAAAGTTTGGGATTCAAGATCTTGCTGGCGTAGGCCCGCGGCCTGCAGCCGCAATGAACCAAATCAGGGCAGGGCCTAATTTTCAGGGAGGGGCAAACATGTATTTTCTTCTTTTTTTCTTTCTATTATACATACTGCATTTACTCTGGGATAACTCAGTTTATTACTGAATTAAACATTTGATTTCCTGTTGTCCAAACATAAATCATCCAGATAGGAATGGTTTTCTTTCTCTTTGAAACTTCTGGTTTCTTCAGGTTTTTGTTTTGAATCAAAAACACTAGTCCACAGTCTTCACTACACTCTCATTCGAACAAAAGTCAATCAAAAGCTTAACACATAACGACATAAACATGGCCTTAGACAGCAAACTGACAGGAATATTTGAAAGGTTTTTAGCCAAAATGCAAAAGTGAGACTACAAGATGATGTAAATTGTGTTTCTTTGATAAATATAGTATACTAACTTCTGTGCTGTGCATATGATCTCGAGATCATCTATAGAGCAGAGTTTCTTTGATTTTTTTTGGGTGTGCAAGACAAGAAAAATTATGTTTTGGATCAATTTCTATGCTAAAAATGTTTTTTTGGGCTGATGGTTCGTACCCCCAGCCTGAGCACCCCTATCCTAAATATATATTAATACCCCTATCCTAAATATGTATATTCCAAGGGGCTCTAAGAAGTCATTTAAACAATATGGAGCAAGGATTTGGAACTGTTTGCCCAAATCATTCTTTTGTGGCAATGTGACAATATTCATTCTTTTAAAAATAAATGTAAAAATTATTTAATGGACAAACTTAAGTCGGACTCTTTTAATAAGTATGGTGGATTTTAAAATAGCATTTTTAATTATCATTATAGCTTTATAACTCATTATTTGAATTTTGTATTAGGTTTCTTCTAATTTTTTTATTTCCTTATTGGTTAAATTTAGATTATTTGTACATTTAATTTGTGAACCAAACTGAAAACAAGTTTCAAACTTAGTTTGTTATTCACTTTAAAGATCATTATACATACATACATACATACATACCCCCCGGGTAAAAATCTTTCACGATCAAATCGTTGAAAATGTTTTTTAAGAAATTCCTTTTTATTTCTACCTGTGCTTGTGCAAACTTTAGGCTAAGGAAATGTAGAAGGAAAAACAAGATTTTGTATATACGGTAGTTGCTTTTGAAAAAAGTTCATGGTAGAATTTAAATATAGTTACATGAATTTTAGCTCAGTTTTTTGTCAATAAAAAAAATTGAAATCTAACGATGAAATGATTTCTAGTAAAGTGAAATATCATTAGAGAGATCACACACTGGGATATTTTATTTGTTTGATGCATCAATAAATTTCATTTCTGAATATTTTTCAATAACTTTCCTAAATTTTTTTATTCATTCGGACAGTAGCTCCATTTGCGTCGGCAGTACGCCATTTGTGATTCAAAAAGTAGAATATTTGCTACATAACCAGTTTGTTGCGTAACTTAATTCCTGTGCTTTAGCTTGTAGATGCAAGGAAGGCAGCCTTACAGAATTCATTGACACGTGATCGAAAGCAAAGGGGCGCACAGATACTGGACGAATGGAGAAATAGGTATTTGGAGAGAACAAATGAGGTCAAAATGAAGGAAGTGGAAGACAGTGTGAAACATCTCAGTGTGAGTCAGCAATTTATTTTGTAAGCAGGATGAAGTCAGTTACAAAGCAATTGATTCGTGTATTTAGCATCCACTGCTTCAATGGATATGCATATAAAGCGATTTGCGCTGGCAATATCGTTGGCTCTCCCAGCGTGACTTCTCTGGAGCTAGGAGTTTATTGACTAGAATAGCAATCTGGGTTGTGCGAAGGGCTGTTTAAAACCTGTGCGTAAAGCCTGTATTTAACTATTAACAAGTCAGAGCCATCCACAATCAGAACCAGCTAGAAGGATCTCTAAGGACGAAGTGTCTAAAAGTTAGCCGATGTCCGTGCAGTAAGTTGGTTGTTTTGAGTTGTTGTCACTTGATTGAGTTGAACCGTAAGAGATGTATTAACTGGGCCGCTAGAGACTCCCTCAGAGGCTTACTGTCACAATCCTCGCTAGCGTATGATGTACGAGCGTACGAGTTTACTCTGGGTGAACTCAACCTCGGTTGAACCCAGGTAGCTATTTATAGCGTAAACCGGGCTTTAAAACGTCTAGTGATGGCAGAAAATAAATGAAGAAAAAGCACAAACAAGGAGCGAAGAGAAAACAGAGAAAATGACTAAAGCGACGGGAAGGGAAAGGGTTCCTTATTAATATGATGATCAGGGCAATTTTTTTAAACATTGTCTCACCTGAAGGAAACAGTTGCCTCCGAAAGTTAACCCAAATCTCTAACAAGTGAATACACATTTCTTATTCTGTTAATCATCAGACAAGCTTAAGAAAATGAAGAAACGTCTTTGTATCTTCCGTACTTACACTTCATAGGGCGTGGACTGTTGCTATGGATGTAGTCAGCACTGATATTCACAATAAATTATTTTGATACAGTAGGTGCAGAACTGATCCTCCCCCTTTGCTACCTTTTGTGCAGCTTTGCTATCTTGGAGATGGACAAAAATTATTTGCTATTTTAAAGCTGGTCAATCTTTACCATGTTGTACAAGTAATTTCTCGATTTGTATAACAAGCTATCAAAGTTGTCTTTTTGCTTCTAATTTGATTCTTATTCTTTCAGAAATTTGTAGCAAAACAGGAGGATATAGAGCAGTCTCTTTACAATCAAGTTAAGAGTTCCGAATCTGAGCGACGAAAGCAGGAGCAGACTGTAGAAGGAATTAGGCAAGAGCTTAGTGCTGTCAAAAAGGAAAACGCAAGGCTTATCAAGGTCAGAATGCTAGCTGTAAAATTGACTCAAAACTAGGTTTATTTCTTTCCTTACATTTCTCGCCGAGCGGAAATTGCGTGTCGGTGAATTTCTGAGAAAATGTGTAAAATTTTGTTTCTTAAAGGAAGTGGATGAAGTAACTATATAGTAAAAATACTTATTTGTTTTTTTTTTCATTTAAGATCTGCTATGATTGTAGCATTTTTTCTCTTTTCAAATTCTTTGAAAAGTTTTCAACTTCATTCAAATATTCTCAGCCTCTTTTTGTAACCTCCATGTGAGATCTGATCTTACAGATGGGCTGGATGATTCGAGCATTCATTGAAAAAAATGTTTTCTATACAAACAATTGTTTTTGAGAGGACGAGTGTATTCGAAGTAAACAACTTTTCAAAAAGCCCACAAAGCAAAGCAAAGTCAAAAAAGATCCCAAAGAATGTGTCCTGCATATGATGAAGGCTACCACCCCTGTGCAACTGTGACTCTTATAGTTTTTAAGCCAGATAATTTGAAGTGGATTAATAATTGCAGCTACCATTTGTAGGAAACCTCCATTCGATGCCACAAACGAGAAGAAGAACTGGTGCAGAAGCTTCTTAGAGAGGAGGCGGCATTGAAAAAGGTAGCTTTTGTTTCTCTTATGATAATGTTTATTTTTTGTTTTAATGAAATAAAAGAGAAAGCCCCAAGGTTGCAAATTATTTTGCTTCTATTTGCTTTTTGTGGTAAAAAAAGCCTTGCCGGTTTGAAAACATTTGGTCTTCGTAAAAGTGCCGTTTTTTTAAAGCATGTATAAATTTTGGGAAAAAAGAACCTTGTAATTGTATTACCTAACAGAATAAGCTCCTTAGAAGTTCGTGAATTTTTACCATACAATCCATCATTCCTCATTTAAGAATAGTTCATTCGAAATAATTGTATCAGATTAAGTACATCCATGGTCTAGCTGTAAAAATAGTTTTGTGTTTTGATATTTTTGTCATTCAAACTTTTGTTCCTCCATCTTTGATCTTTGACCAGTATTTCTCAACCAATGGGAACTTAGGGTCCTCTCCTTTGATGCTAGCAACTTAAGGTCGGTTTATAAGAAAGATTTAAGTTCCCTTGATCAAAATAACATTTCTATTAAGTGAAGCCTTTTTAACATCCCCTCCAAATAACCAACGACCCCAAACAACATTTAATTGTATCCTCTATTTCTTTTCTGCGCTCAAACCCTTGCACATTCATATCAAGGGACTTATTTAGCATGGTACTGAAACTTCAAAATAACTCAGACATTGTTTTTATAAAATGATCTCATGATCTCAGCAAGTAAAAAAAACTTCTAATCTGTTTGATTTTGCTGTTTATGTTTCAAAATATTTTTTGTTTGTTCGCACTTAATTTATTTTCAACCAATTTTTTTTCAGATCAAATATCAATATGATTAAAATGTATTGTAAAGTGAATAATTTTATAATTTGGTTATTGTTTACAGGCGTTGAGTGAAAGAGAAGAAAAGATTAGATCATTTGTAAAACAAAGAGGGTTCTACCAGGAAGAAAAAGATATGTTAGCTAAGGAGCAAAAAGTAATTATTGCAAACCAGTTTTTCATATTTTTAAAGAGTGTATTTTGAATCGAAGTTAGGAACAAACTACAGTTAGAATCCAATAATTCGTTTCCATAATCATTCGAATTTATCTTATTTAACCATTTCTGTTTCAGCTAATTTTGATTAAATTTTCATGATCAAAAAAATTATCCCTTCATTGTCAGGCTTTCATTTTGACATCAATTTAGAAATATTACTCTACATAAGTTTTTTGAATCATCTTGTTTTGAAATTTTTAGATTCTACTCTATGCCTTAAGGAAATATTTATTCAATAAAATATCATATGCCAAACATATTTAATAAGCTTCGCCGTTTCTTCAACTCTAATCAATTTATTATTCCTAGAAGATTACTAGAGATTAAATGTTTTATTCTTCCGTTGTAGCAGATCATTAGGATATCGTTAGAAGGCTGTTTATAAAGCGTTTTTCCTGTCATGTTCTTATTTCGATACGTTTTCTATGCTGTAGGGATACTATTTTGTACCTGATTTTTTTTGTTCTTCTATATTTATATGATTGCTTCATCTAACCAAAGCTCTGTTAATACCACATAGAGCACATGATACTGAAAAACAGGTTGACAGCACTTTTCATGATTTTTGCATCTAGATTCATCAGAGATTGAACAGAATTGGACAAAAGTCAGAATACATTGACCAAGAAATGTACGCGTAATTTGACTGAAAGGTAAATTGAAGTTTGGTTGGGTAACCAACTGAAATATGACTCCTATATTTATATATACACATCTGTATACGCTTTCAGTGTATAGAACAGGACGGTTCTAAGCTGCTCATCATCAGGTCACTTGATGATGTAAATAGCTCTGCCTCTACGGTGTCGAGTACTTTGTGACAGAAAGGTAAACAGTAATTTTTTATAATTATGTATTCAACGATGATAAAAATACTGACTCTGGAATGACTAGCAAAAGACTGCACTGTGTATTGTTTTTTGCCCGAAGTTGCTAATAGCCAAAAACCAAAAGGTGTTTCTAGAGCTACTGGCAATCGTTGTGTACGTTTTTCTTTTCAATAATTATTTCTCTTTTTTTCAGATTATGCATATCGCAAGATCATTTAATAGCACTTATGCACAGACTGTCTCCGTCATTGAAGATTGAAGAATGAAATATACCAATTTACTGTGTCATCTTCCGTGGTCATCATAGGATAGAAAGTCAGGCATGTCTCAATGAGAGCACATTATCTTGGGGTCGGGGGTGTGGGGTTGGGGAGTGATTCAAAATATATCCTGCTGGAGGACGCGCCGCAGAATAGAGTGGATTTTTGACACAAAATTTTGGGCAATAGGCTGTTTGATTTAGATTGAAGACAACGAGATTGGATTTTTCTATCGACTTTTCCTTGGTAGGGTTTGATGGAGGTTCCATGTACAGCACGTCCCCGAACAAGTAAGTAGTCAACAGCCTTTCTGACCTCTTTATGAGAAAAGACACTAAAGTGTGATTTTGATATGTACATTAGCCCGAGTATAACATTAAAATTTTCCCTTTTTTTTAATTTTTACTTTGTCAATTAATTTTGCCACAAGACAAAATTTTGTCATTAGAAATTCTGAACGACTATTTGTATCTTTCTTAAACAGTTTTGTCCGTAGGCCTTCAAATGTTGCATGCAAAGCGTGCTTGTAAATTTGATTCTATTTGAGATTAAAAGATTAAAATTTTGAATGCTTCTTACCCAAACCTTTTGGTATCCACTGTAATATTTCACGACAGTTTTCCTGAAAAATAAAAAAGGCAATTCATTTCATAGTATGGAAACAAATTATTGACAATGATTGATTCTGAAGGTTACTTCATTCCAATTTTCATTTTTCATCCTTTTATTTACCATAGGTTTTTCTGTTGGTAGCAATATTAAGCTTTTGCTTTTTAAGTCCCAATATCTTTTATGCTTGTAATTTTTTAAATAAATCGTAATGCCCTTCTCTTCCTTAAGAAAATGTTTCATTTCTGTATATTAAATGTTTTGTGTAAAAAGCAATTGTAGATTAATTGTTAATACCATTCCTAACATTTTGTCTATAGTCGGTTCATTTTTAGCAGTGACATTTTCAATTATTCTTAACATTTTCAATTTCATTTTAATATTTCCCTCGATTGCTTAGAATCCTGTGGAAATTTTCAAATTTTAGCAATTTTCGAATTTTATAATCTTGATAATACCGGTGTGAAGAAATGTGTTGGTCTCTTTTTCACTGCTTTCGTTATCTCAAATTTTATGCAACCATTTAATGTTACAAGACCGCAGTTTTATCAAACAAACCTGAATAATTCTTATCAAATAATTTAAGCTCCATATATTTGCATCTGTTGTACGAGGATGCCAAGTAATGTTGGGTAGAACCAAAAATAAATAACATTTGATACGAACTTTCGAATTCCTTTATTGGAAGGAACAGATCTGGTGTTTTCCAAATCTTTTATCCATGAAATATGACTGAAAAAAATGGCTGAAGACCCTTGAAAATTTTTTGAAGAGGCACTGACGCAAATTTTTGCATCCGAAGATTTTAACGATGATTTATTAGGAACATGTTGGTGGCTCGTGGTACCCGATAATATCCTTCGTTTGTTTGTACTCGCTGTGGAAGTTAAGTTTCGAGACTTTGAAATTTGGATATACATTTTTGATATTCCACTTATATTCTGGTCTGCTTAGCGAAAACAAAGGATTTGACGTTATTTGGAAATTCTCGGTCGGAGCTTTTTGCTCCGGCTGGTTCAATCGGTGGCCGTCGTTTGTTTTTTTCCTTGTAAAGGTAATGTTTCAGGCGTTGCCCTTCTGCCTAATTCCTATTCCGAGTTACAATCAGGCGGCTTCGAAGTCTTGTTGCAATGAAGATGAAAATGCTTTATATAAAAATTGGTTGCTACTGATCAATCTAGCTTATTATTCATTTCGGTATTATATATTATTCATTCACTTCTCATGATACGTGCAACTTCCGGTGAACCTGGTGAATTCAGAAAAGTGCTGGATCATGATTTGCTGGATGTCATATTATCAGAAAAGCGTTGCCTGACCCGAGGAGGCCTATGATTCGTTAATACCGTCAAGAAACTCCTCGACATGTATGACACTATGTTAATCGGTTTATCAAAACCAGGTTCGTTATGTTTGCCCATAGTTGGCCTAGCTTTCAACCGATAACCTTATAGCTAATTATTTCATAGCTTATATCTGCATGTGACTTTATATTGCTTGAGAGCTAGAAATGTGTTGTTTATGGTAAACTGTTACCGTAACTATCAAATTTCATGTTCAGAGTGGCAAAATTCTTTTGCTGACTTTATCTTCAAACTAATCGAACAACAATTCATAATATCTTTATCTTTAAAATATGTTACCTGCGATAAGAAGGGATGCCTTTTCAAACAGCACCGCAGCTTTCCTTCAGTCAACATGTTTACTGTTCGACGCTCTTGCAAGCGTGATATTTTCCCAAGCACTCTCTAACGGTAAGTAATAAGTACCACGATAAGCAATTTTCATGCCAAACTTCAGATTGCTTTGAACTTCATGAATAACAGAATGAAACACGAGGAAGAACGCTTTAAACATAATGTATTCCCTTGTCGATGCTCAAAACATGCGAAAGTGACTAAACAAACAAGTTGGCTGTCTTGGGAAATTCTCTCGTCGCGATTTCAAACCTCTTGACAATATGTAACACTTTTAAATGTCATTCTAAAGGGGATCCTTCGATGTTTTGCTGCTCCAGGGACCTCATGGACAAGAAATGAAGTGCACCGTCAACAAACAAACACCCAAATTTTGCTTTTGATGCCCTGTTACGTGTAAGTCTTTTCAATTTCTATTCGTATTGAGAAATGAAGTAGGAGCACAAAATGGAAGAGTATGTTACATGCAACAATATAAGAAGGCGATTAGGCGTGCGCTAGGTTACAAAGAAATACGAAATCGACAAATATCGCAAGAACACAGAACCAACAAAAAAGCACCTTACTTTTGACTTTAGAACAAAGCTATTTATATTAACAAGATGAAAAACAAGCTACAATAATAGATTCTACCTTGAAGCTAATGACTAATTTGACATACAGATTTTACATGAGACACATAGTGATTATTTACATAAAACATATAGAAACAGCCTTGGTTCCAGTTGTTTTTAAGTTTTTCGCCTTGTGATGTGGTCATACAAGACAATCTGAATGTACTTCGGTGATTCAATCACAATCCTCGCAGAATTATCACCCGGTGTCTGGGCCTAAAAAATTCATTAAGTCATTGCGTTTTTAGAAAGTCTAAGAAATTAAACATAATGTTGTTTGATACGAAACTCGAAAAACAAGACCAATTTTGAGCAAAAGAAAACATAAAGCTTAGATAAGATATTTGGAAATTTGGGTCCCACACAATCAGCAGGTCGATGTTTAAGCGTAAAAATTGTTAACCTTGTTACTAAATTCATGCAGGACTTAAGTCGACTAATGATAGTTGAAAAAGATGTTCGCAAAGGACAACAGCCTAATGCAGCTTGCCCTCGTTAACTCCCCCTATCAATGTCTGTTGATCTGGTAGAGATACAGAATAAGATTAAAATGATACCTTGGGGTCGACATTAAGGATTTTGCGATCACGCTTGTTCTTGAACAATAAACCAGATGAATTTTCAGCTATAACCTGCAAGCGAAGAAGATACTGCATTCAAAATTTGATCACGAAAACTATGATAAGTTCTATATTATTAGGAATAACATTCAAAGCAACAGGAAAACAGTTATCAAAAAATATTTTAATGACAAGAAGAGATTAGGAAAAGGCTGTCCAAATTATGTAGCATAGGCCGTTCTTTTCATTACCTGGTAGTTTGGTGTCGCATTCGAGGTACATTTCTGTGTCTCCCAGTTGTAGAAACTACGTTAAAAGAAACCAAAAAAGAAGGAAATGAAAAAAGGAAGATTAGATGAAAATATAAAGCAAGTTTGCCTATGAACATTACAGCTTACAGGTTTGACACGAAGTGTTCTATGACGTATCTACACTTGCTTTTGTACTAACTGTACTGACATTTGTGTGTAGAACAGGACGGTTCTGAGCTGCTATTGCAAAATCCACGCTTAATGTGAGGCAAGACAAGAACTTTAACTTAATGCGAGGTAAAATTAGTTTGCATAACTTTTAACTTGGTCCAAATCTAAAATTACTTGGAAAAGAGCAATGCTATTTTTATAGTTGGGTTGATATCCATCGTTTTATGGCTTTAAGTATTTTTCTTCTAAATGTCTAACGTTTTTGAAAGAAAAAAGACAGGAAATCAAAACGGAGAATTTAATCAAGAGGCAGACTATCACAAAATTATATAATCCTGGTGAATGCAAACAAATAAAAAATAAATGACATATTATTAAACAATAAAATGCTGTAATCATACGGGGTCTTCAATAGACAAAACTTGAAAATTTGTATTCATGAAAGGAAAGAAGTGATGGGACTAAAGATAAGAATTTCAGCAATACCTTAAATCTGACGGCCTTGGAAGCAATCTTTTTCTTCCCAGAAAATAGGGTTCGAAATCTTCTGTCTAGAGTAAGAGTTTGACAGACATTTGAGGTATACATTATTCAGGAGTTGAATCATTTCATTCAAAATGCACCAAGCATTGAAGCTATTAGAGCAATCAAATGAATTACAAAGCAGTCCAACACCTTCTACATCTCACGTTCAAAGCCAGTCTTCCTCACCCCCCTCCACATGTATTATAAAAGTTTTTGCCATTTAGAAAATTTCCTTAGGCAGTTATAACCTATACATCTTCGAAGAACACTCTTACTTTTTCAAAGTGGTTTTTATTCCTGGAAAAAAGGTTTTTTACAAAAACTTTACAACAATAGCTCACCCTGTCGTTAAAACACATTAAATTAAGCCTCACTAAGGATCATTGATATTTTACTGCACTATTATGATACCAAGGTGCCTCAGGCAAAGGTACATTGGTTGGAAGCTTTGTCCGTTACTTTTGTATTAACATTCAAATGTTGATCACTTTTCTGAACTAATAATATGCATTATTTCAAAAACTTTTTCAAACTTTTAATACAATAGGTTCAGGCAAGGTGCTAGATAACTTTCAAGTTAATCTATCAAAAGTCCTTAAGAATAGACAATTTGCACAAATTGACATATCTTAGAATCATCAGAAAGAAAAGACATCTCTTTCTTATAAATGACAGAAGAGTAGTGCTGTGAAAAATATCATACCTTGAGTCTGTGTGCATAATCAATATAGCCAGAAATTTCCTAAAAAAGGATGACAATGTTTACTTAAAACTTAATTGAACTCCAGCATTCAAAGACTAGTTACAACAATATTGGTTTCCTTATTCAATTAACAACACGATAACTGGCTACCAAACTAAAGCATGGTTTACTCTGTCCTATAAAGCACTGCTTTGAGCCAATATCTATTATAAAAACAATCCTTGGAAAATAACCTAGCAAAATATCTTATTAAAATCCCATAAAAGCAAGCAAAATATCCTATTAAACAGACTTATAAAAAAGACCATTATTAGCAAAGAATAGGTCTGGTCACTGACATCAAATGGGGTAAAAAAGTGGAAGAGGCTCTTTATAGAAAAGGGCACATGGTAATAATAAATTTTTGAAAAGGGAAGGAACTTGCAAAGAGCCCAGCTATTTCTATAAATTTGATCACCCTAGTCCTAGTTGGGCTAGATTTGGGGCATATTAGTATGGACTGGGGCCCCTATCAGTCAATAAATACCAAAAATGGAAAGAGTGCCTTTTATATGAGAAAAATTGCACCTTTCATGTTTAAGTATCTTTTATTATTTCCTCTATTTCCCAAAAATTTATTCTGCACTTGAAAACTTTCTTGCAATCAAGCAACAACAACAAATCCTTAAAAAAGGAGCTTAAATACTCAAATTTATTTCAAGAGAAGAAAGATTTGAGTAAATGTTAAAAAAAGTTCATACCTGCCCTCTTGCATTCTTATCCCTGATGAATATTATTGTCTGCAAAGAAAAAATACTTTCACTTTTATTGCAGTATTTTCAAACTCACTAAGTTGAATAGTGAATGAGTGTTCAGTGCTATTAATACTCAAGTGTATGAGCAAACCCTAAAAAATATTTATGAATAGTGTTTCAATAATAGTTTGTAGCCTCACAACATAATTGAAATACCATGAAAAACAATTTAAAGATGTTTAAATCTAAAGTTGCCAAGTGCCTATAACTGATTGTGGCAATCTATCATTTTGTCCATATTTAATATGAGATGGTATTCTTTGAAATACAGTATATTTTTATTTGTTTTGATAACAAGTCACTTCTACTTAGACAGGTTGACTGAAATGGCACTAACTGTCATTTTTCCGTTTCTATTCGCCTCTTCTCTTTGGGCCAGTGCCTGAAGGAATGGATCACCTAGGTCTTTGCCAGAACTTGCCAGCACTCTACAATGAATCAAGAGATGGATGTTTATCAAGTAACTGGTGTTTTTAAAAATACAATGTTACCTTTAGCTTGCAGATAAATGACCTATAATGTATATCAAGTTATAGGTAATAAATCATGCTGAGGGTAAAGTAGCCCATCCAGCCTGGAAGCATATCCAGGCTAGCTAGCTATCTCCATATATTCACATTATCATATTGATTTTTGGTGGTAACATTATCATATTGATTTTTTGGATTTGTGCTTCCTGTTTGCATAAAATAACTTAAATTGGCAGCACAAACTTTAGTTTAGACTGTGTACCAGACAAACAGATGTTTCTGTACCTGGCTTGCATAAGCAAATAGCAAAGTTTCAGACCTGTTAACCTGTGTATATTTTTTTATATTTTTAATGCAGTAACACTATTTTGAACATAGAGAAACGTTTATTAAACTTTATTTTGTTTTGAAAAAATTGCTTTCCTTGTTACTTTCTACCTACTTTTGTTGGCTTCTTTTTGAAAGCCGACTAGCTTCAGCTGCTTGTTTTCTTGCTTCAAATTCCTCTCTTTTCAGCACCTTGAGTTAAATACAAAATGTGTATTGAAGTCTCAATAAATCATTTAAGCATTCAAAGTGGTACAGAGTTACAGCATTACTTATTCAGAACATGGGTGCATATATGCAAGTAATAGACAGAGGCAGATCAAGACTACAGCAACCTATGCAAAAGCATAAGTCAGATTTTCACAACAACAAAATAAAATAGAAACTATCAAAATTTTTAATCAATAGGTTCTTTGGCAAATTCTTCAGCAATGTCCACCCTAGATCTGCCCCCGTTGATACCAACAACATGCAGAAGACAGTAGGGCATATACTTTCCTGACTACCTTTCGGCCTCTGCACAGAATAGTCAAGTGGGGATTCTAGGCATTTATCTGGGCCATATTTTCTGAATCTAGAAACTTGTTTGTTCCTCGAGAGCCAATCACCGCTTGCTTGACCTCTGCAAACGTCTTGTTAGTCAATCAGAGTGTACTTAACCTCTGCAATCTTTGGTGGGAGCATAGGTGAGATTTGATTCAGGAAATCAGAAGCCGAGCTTGCCTCTGCAGCGCTTCAGCCAACCAATAGGAATCAGAGTTTACCTATGCAATTGTTTACAGTGAACCTATGCAATTGTTTGTTACAGCCAATGAAATGGCAATTGATAATCGCTGCTTCACCCCCTGCTAATCTGCTAAGGAACTAACATCTGTTCTGTGGTCTTGTGATATGACCACTGTGTTTGAAAAGTGGAGGGCCCTGGTTCGAATCCTTCTGGAGTAGGTTACCTTTTTCCTTCGAATTGCAGATAAATTTAGTCTTCTCTTTGCAAGTCGTTTACTAAGAATTCCTTTCTTGAATACCCTATTCAATATCAGAGATACAAATTTTATTGAGAAAAGTTTGGGCGTTTCCAGCACAAAAGGGTGTGGCTTATCTTTCTGAAAACCTTTGCATTGCATAGGTCAGAATTCAGGCTGGATCCGCGCCTGATAGATATCAAATAACCAACCCAGCTTTCGGCATTAAAAAATCACGAGGAAATCTTGATGGTAAATAAGATATAGCATTTTTAAATATAACCAGTACTGAATGAAAGATTAAGTTATTCGAAGGGCACCATCTTTTGAGAACAATAGGAGCAAAAGGGGTTGGAAATAAAAGATTCTTGAAATTTTTGCTTACAACGGTAGCGATTATATAAAAGCTCAAGTGAAGATTGCCTCGTTGGTCAATTTTGAAGAAAAAATTGTCATACCTCTCCACTTCCTCTATAACCAAGCTCTACCAGTTGCCTTGCCAGCTCTTCATCCTTAAAAATATTTATAAAATGCTGTCAGGTAACTCAGATTTTCTATTTTATCCATTCGCAATCGATGATAAGTTATCATCTTACAGCGATAAAATTCGTTCGCTGATCCTCCCAATTTATTCTTTTCTAGCAATTAATTTACATACCTCAAGATAATAAAGGTCTAATGGTGTTATTTGGCTGTCTAAGAAGTCTTCGTAAGTGGCAAACTCGGTTACAATATTGTCTGAAGCTACCGCTTCTTCCTCCATCTTTTCTGTTGTGGCCAGAAAACTCTTTGGAAAGACCTCTTACCGAGAGAGAGGCTGTTTACGTTACCATAGAAACAAAGAATTGGCTGTTTCTGATTGCCTCCCTCGTCCCCTGGCTTTTGTTTCCAGGCTCCCTAAAAGAATTCCATCAGTTAGCGTAAAATGGTTATGAATTAAACACAGAAACAGCAAATCGCTGGAGATTTGGAGTTATAGCCCGCTAAAACATCAAATTTAATGTGGCAAAATCTCAGATCTTGCAACTTCGCTACAATAAAAAAATTCTATCTTTTGCCCCAAGCAATAACTTCCACTGCCCCGTGGTTTAATCAAAGGGTTTAACCAATAAGCAACCTTTCTGTTTCTTGCATTCGTTTACCTGTTCTTCAGCCATTATTTCGTTACTTTCAATGATTTGATTTCTCTTTACATATGATTGGTTCAAATAAATACAGTATAAAAAATTTTACAAGTTGCTTTTTAATTTTTAATGCAAATTTCTATTCATGTCGATCTGCTTTTTGGCACTGCTTGTACAGATCCTTTACTTTAACACTAACCTAGTTTAACAAATGTTCTCCTTTGTTTTCATGAAATACACTAGGTGAGCAAAAGTATGTATAGCACCACTTAGACGAATTAATAATGGCGTCAGCGTTGAGAACAACATGCCATTCAAAACTCAAACCACTTTTATAAAGCCATTAAGCGTTACTGCACGGTTAAAACTCAATCAAAAACTTTTGCAAAAATTTTTCTGAAAAGGTTATATTTGTGTTTTTCCATTCTAGGAAATGATTTTAGGACTTTTGAAAGAAAGTCTTTTCTAAGTTTTTTTAGACAAACATGACTAGGAACTGTCTAGATGTATAAGTTCTGTAGAGAGATACACAATAGCTTAGATTCATATAACATTACACATGACTAAGTCAAATATTGCAGACAATTATATTGTAACGAATTTTGCAGCATTCAGCAAAAAATTTAAGGATAAAAAGTTATCTAATTGAGTAATAAACACATATACAGCAGACCTGTCAACCTTAAATTTTCAAAACCTGGAGATTTTAGATTTTTCCTAAAGAAAAACAGGGAGATTTGGTCAAAAACAGGGAGATCGCAGTGATTTGTTAAGGGAATAAATATAACTGATAAAATGTTGTGCTCGGCAAACAGTTTACGACAAAAGTGATCATGAGAGGTATCTTCATAATAACTTTAAGTGCTTTTTGTTAATCAGTAAGCACTAACAAAAAAGATTGTCATGTGGAAGTCAATGTGACCATTATATCTTAATTTTACCTCCGTAAAAAGAAAACATACACGATGGACCTGTCTTTGAAGCATGAGATACGCAGTTTAATCGAACATTCGGTGAAGATTCTTCCTAGACATTCTGCTAGACATCTTTGAAACCGGGAGAAAAATTTAAAAAAACGGGAGACCGGGAGAAAGCAGTCAAAACCGGGAGTCTGCCGGCTGAACCGGGAGGGTTGACAGGTCTGATACAGTGAAACCTCTAATAACGGTCACTTCTGCGGAACAGCCATCTCCAGATTTGCGGTTAGTTGAGGAAGTCCCAGGTCCCTGCCGAACTGGTGGTGATCCCACATGTGAAAACCTCCGCTTTTTCGATAAGGAGAATATATGAAAAAACCTTCCTTTAGAGGTAACCTTTAAAAAAAGACCACTAAGCTTGGCCCCTGAAGGCTGCCGCTATTTGAGGTTCCACTGTATCAGGTAACTGATTATTTTAAAGTATACATATGAATCTACACCCTTCAAGGCGCTTAGGCCTTAACTTCAAATATTAATGGCCAAAGCTCATATCCTAAGTTGTTAAATTGCAACATAATTAAAATGGCAGAGGAAAAGTATAATCAAATCGAACTAGCATAAAAAGTACAAAATTAATAAAACTGCAAGGAATTTCTGCGATTAAAAAAAACGAGTTAATTGTATTGTGGTTAAAGAATGAAGACGTTTTAAAAAGCTACTGAAATAACAAGATTCTACTCTGTCATCAATCTACACATAAATCTATTGGGGCATCTTGATAAAAGGGGTGGGTGGCTTGGGAGCGTGATAGATATAGCTTGACGATGGAGGTATTTGCAAAGACAACATGCTAAATTTTAACTAACTAAAACGAAATTGTCACAGAAAATTAGCAATTTTGCCCATCAACTACTGTAAAGCGGTGTTGGGGTGTAGTTGATTGGCACAAAGCAGCCCCTCTCGTCATATAGTACAATTTTTAAAACTTTGAACATATCTACAACAAAATATTGCATAAAAAGATGAAGAAAACAGTGACAAAGATTAGGCTTGGGAAGAATAAAAAGGGAGAGTGGGTGAAATAACTATTGATGAAAGGATAAATAAATGTTAAATGTATTTGCACAAAGACGACAAGAATGTTTTGTTTAAAGTAACTAGTTGAAATTTAAAATTAAGTGTCCTTTTATGTAAGTAAATATTTCCATAAAAACATAATCTCCAACGTGTCACGGAACAGTTGAGATCTGATACAAACCCATTTGAAAGTGACCAGCACGGGGTATTAGCGCGTGTCCTGTGTAACAAATGAAGAGGAAATTAAAAAGAAACTGAGCAAGGGAAGCTGGACTTTTCCTTACAGCGCGAGGGCTTAGCAAAGCAATTCTATTTTATTTCATCTAAGGAGAGTTCTACCCAAATACACATTATTGAGAAGGTCCAAAGGCAATCGATTGATACAAGAGCAAAAGCTTTTGCAACTTTCTTATGCAAATATTCGTAGCTAGAAGTAATAACGGATTGATCACACGAAAGGCGAGTTACTTCTCTTTGATGCAGGTTGCGCTGCTGACATGATACCACCCACTCGCTCATTGATTTGCCAATAGTTAAATGACAGTTGGCTTAAGCTTTTTATTATCTATCGACTGCCTTTGCCTTCAACAAGAAGGAGAGAGAGAGAGAGAGAGAGAGAGAGAGAGAGAGAGAGAGAGAGAGAGAGAGAGAGAGAGAGAGAGAGAGAGAGAGAGAGAGAGAGAGAGAGAGAGAGAGAGTGTTTAAAAAAACGACAGGAAAGATTAACGGAAACCTCGTGCATAAGCAAAATTACCGCAATTATAGATATTAGTACAACAAAGTATGATCATTATTTTCATCTGATGATTCGGTGGACTTTCTTGACGAGGAACAGTAAAAAACCCCGCGTGTTGTAATTAAGTGATGAATGAAAATTCAAGCAATGAGAAAAGACTGCACAACCAAACATACCAGTAGCATTGACACTAGGCAAGAATTGGGCGACTCTCATCAACATCAGTCTTCTTTGACCTACGAAATACGTTCATTTAATTCTAGTCAATAAGCTAAAGTCTTACTACAAAAAAATTGACCCAGCTGTTTCTAATCTAAAACCACATAGATCATTGGTACCAAAAAGGAAAATACAGATAACACCCCTAAATACATTTCGGCAGCTTTCTAATGAAAATATTTCCTAAAAGTTTGCTAATATGATATTAAGCCCATTCTTCGATGAAAAGTCCCGTTGCAGCTTGTCTTAGATTACAGCTTCAGAAAAACAGAAATATTTAGATTTCGATACTCCATATGATGTCTTTTTGACAATTCTGTGTTTATGTTACGGAAACTGCTCCGAAATGGAGATTTGGCAGATTATTATCATTATTGTTAGCCTTAGACTAACAGACGAAAATAAAAAATTTAATCAAAACGACTGAAACAAAAGACAACCAAAGGGAGCATTTAAAAAAATATTGAGCCAAGCCCACCGAGAGGGGGGCAAGGGGGCAATTGCCCATGGTCACGTAAGCAAAAGGGGGCCCTCTGGTCATCAAAATGTCTCTTTTAAAGTATGATTTTAAATAACATGGTAATTACAGATCATATCTATATTTGAAAAGTTTGGCATATAAATTGAAAGTGAATAAAGAAAATTGCATACATTTGAAATCCATACTAAACGCATTTAGGGATTATTTTTGGTAGAAAGGGGCCCAAGTATTCTGCCTGACCTTAGTCCGCCATGGTTCCCTGGCGCCCTGTATAGAGTAACTTAATTTAGGCCTTGTATAAACCATTCCCATATTATAAAATTATGTCAAATTCGTTATCATAACTTTGGTCAATCCAACATATGATCCGACCTCAAGAAGAAATATATCATGGGAGTCCCTCTAACTTGTTCTTTTCTTCCCAATCTTGAGGGCATAGATTTACTGGAAAATGATTTTTGGACGGTAAAATTCTTACGAAAAATACGATAAAAATACTCCTTACTCTTTATATTTTCTTGTTCTTCGTTCGAAAAAGGTAAACACAAGTATGACAAATCCCTGCAACAAAATTAGATTTTGCGTAATCTATCAGAGGGCACAAAGGGCAGAAAATACTAAGTTATATGGTGTTTACAATACGAGCTATACGATACTCTACTGCAAATTACATAAAAATAAGTAACTTAATACACATCATAACAGAACATAACTCTATCAACAACTTAATTTCAGTTTGAATGTCATGCCACAAGGGAAAGGGGTGTCAAGACGACAGGATAGCTGCGGTTAAAACTGATAGAAATTTGGAGTGACATCAGTTTCAAACGGCCCTTTAGATTAAAATTCAGATGATTATTGAATTAATTGGTAACAAGGAACAATCAACAACTCAAGGCGAATGAAGAACACGAGTCTTAATTTTGAAAGTTGTAAAAAGATCATGAGAAATCTCAAGGAATAGTTTACAAAAAACTTAAATGTCCTTGATGCATAAAAAGAAATGATAAAGCAATAGATTTTGTTGACACCAACTAGTCGTATTGTAATGCTGTAGAGAGTTTATTCATGATAGTAAATGTTCATTTGGGACATATGTTCTCTGATTTGCAGATGTTAGTTGACTAAGAGGTGTAGGGGAGGGGGCTTGAATTGAATACTCTTCCACTTTGCTTCTCCGCAGGACTCCCATTTGCACACATTACACATAGACGTTTTGTCAATGTAGCTAATGATTTGTGAATGTGAAAAACATACCGTTAAAGCTAAACAGAAACCAATTATCTAAGAGAAAAATATATATCTCAAATGGATTTCCGGCAAAAATGAAAAAATTGAAAAAAGAAGAAGCTGACAAAAAAACCAAATAGTTTACGAAACATCGTCGTTACATTTCCTTACTCATTGTAATCAGCTATTAATGAACATTCAGTTCACTTTAATAAATATGCGAATACATCTTAATTATGCAGTATCTAAATGATTACTGTTGCAGAGTGCTAATTGCCACGCAAATAGAACTGTACTTAAGTAGCGTGGTGATCGAATTAAGTGGATAACATTGAGGAGCAACTCAGCACCGTCTTGCTTCACACATCGAAGCGTTAAATATGTTAATATATGTGAATATGATAATTCATGTATATATGATAATCTATGTGAATATGATAATATGTATGTGAACATGATGATGTATGTAAGCAGAAAATGAAAATCAATGTTAACCGTTCTGTTTCTGGACTCATGATTCCCTACTGACAAAGCAATATTAAGCGGGAAGATAATCACATTTGGCATGAAGCTGGGAGTAGCACTTAGAACCATCCTATTCTGCACACAATAACGTTAAATATGATACTGTATACAAAAACGATCACGTATTATAATATTAAACAAAGGAGATACTTACCCCGGCTCCCCAACCAAAGTTCAATCGCTCCACAAGTATTGAACCCACCGTGGGACCAGCTATAGCTCTGAAATGATTTTGAAAAAAAGAAAATAAAAACTTTCGTTTAACAAATCGAAAGGTTTTTTGTCCATCACTGACTTTCAACTTTCACAGTGGTTCTTACAAATTTGATGATGAAATAGAAATGACCGGTTGTTAATGTCACACACAATGACCGGTTGTTATTTGACTGTCATTAAAATCAAGAAAGCCAGGATTCGCATTCCGAAAATGCCTTGTCCTATTGATTTAATGGATTATTAAAGTAGAAAGAATCCTTTAAAGTTAAGTCAAGTCAAGTAATAGTGACAGGGATTGGAACTCGTTTAAGCCACCGCCTTGGTATACGATCGTACTTGGCTCGCAACATTAAAAACACGAAATGGAAAGTTTAGGTCCCGTTTCTTCCCTACTTCGTATTGTATGCTGGCCTATAGAAGAAACCACGTACCCAATGTTGAACATCGAATTGAATATCGAAGACAAAGCGCTTTTGGTTGCGAGACCTTTGTTCATACCATATCGTCTAGAAAAGAACACACAATGCATTCTAATAGTATAAGTTCATTTCACTAGATGCTACAAATCATTAATAGTATCCCAATCTCCCACTCCAACTAGCATTAAACAATTTTCATAACTTAAGTGCTGTCTGATTCCAACTGGATAGAGAGAAAAGTTAGCTCTGAAATCAACATTGTTTTAGGGGAGAGAAGGTGCAGTGTTGATTTTTATACTGGCGACAACCTTTTTAAAAGAACCCTTTAGCAAAAGGATGTTCCAAAAGCTTTCTGAAGAGACAGCAGCTGAACAACGGAAATACGTAATATGGAAAATTCAACTACCTTAGATCTAGATTGAGGTAAAGTTTTCAGCTTAAAACACATCATTCTACAACGTCTAGCATTCGTGGGGGTTAGATTCTTGAGAATAAAGCTGTCGATGACAGTTGTTGGATAATATTGCTTAAAATTTTACTTTTTTAAAAATTATTGAACGTAGGGGGGTTAAGCAGCCGAATCAAGGCATGCCACTATAAATAAATCCCTAATGCCTAACCTTCACAAATTAATCCCTCCAGGAAAAAAATACTGAGAAAGTAATAAGATTTACTTACTCAGCCGACTCGCCCATGTCAGCTAAAGCTGGGATAAATAACGGCGCTACACCCAAACCAAGTAATGCCAAAGCAATACAATTCATCCAAAGAGTCCTAAAGTAAATAAAAAATACAGCGATATCAAAGCATAGTCACGAAATAACGCAACCTGGAACTATATTTGAAATATGAGAAACCAGACATGAGTTGTATGAAAGAGAGTCAAAGGAAAACAATTGAACAACTTCAGTTAATGGCACACTGAAGAAAAACATCACATGTTCTATTACAAGGCTACAGTGCTATAGCACATTCACAAATAAATAACGACGGAATAAATGACATCAGCGATAGTGTGTATTTTGACACATCCATTATAAACAAAACTGTGGCATCTTTTAACTGGTATTCCAGTTAAAGTAATTTTACTGGCTACACTCACCTGAAAATGAGAAACCTTAAAATAAAAACCCTGAAAATGAAAGACTGTTTCTTCATTAACGACCCAGCTTCAAAGTAGAATTTGATGTGGCCTCAACAGGAGCTGACTAAACAAACTGGTGCATCGAAGATTAAGAAAGAGGAGCAACTCAAAATTACATTGAGCTGAGCGATAAATATTAAATAAGTTTTTTACAGAGTTAAGAAAGACGACTATGTTGCGTTCACTAGCCGAAGATTATAAAAGAAATACTTACCGAGGCAGGATGGCTGAAGGTATGAGGGGGAAAGGTCCTAATGCTATGTACGAAATGCCGCATACTATTGCGCCTAGAGACATTGTAATTCTCTTGTCCTGCAAATATCAGACAGGTGGATAATGTTAGCAAGTAGCAACCAATAAAATACAATTGAAGGTTATAAAAGTAATATTTGCTGACGAAGCCAAATATATAGTACTTTTATCATTTTACCCACAATCAAAGATTTAATTGACTGGTTTTAACCAGGGCCGTCGAAAGCGGGGGACTAGGGGGTTGGAACCCTCCCCTTATTGTCAAACAGTACTAGATTTCCTTTAATAAGATTATAAATGGTACTGAAAGGGAAGCAATACAGTGAGCAGCCACCCCCCCCCCCCAATATGAATTTCGTTCTAATGGTCATTTTAACAACGAACTAACGGACACCCCTCCCTGCAATTGAACTTTTGCTGGAACTAAACAGCCTGCATTACACGTGGAGAAACCCAGAAATTGGTATGAGACTGGTTATTTACCAAATCACGAGCAACGCTCAGAAAAAAGGGTAATTTTTCAAACGAATAATTTTTAGAATGAGTGAAAGTAAGTCTTACGGTTTTATCAGCAATCATTCCAAATAGAGGTGCCAGAATTGCATATAAACCAGGGGCGATGAGGAATACTAAGCCCACTTTAAAACTGTTCAAATGGAACTGAAAAACAACAGTTAGGTGTGAAAAAAATGAACGGTTTAAAGATACACATAATTATAGGAATACTTAGGCTAAATATCACATAGAAATTTGTAAAAGTATATCTACGTTAAAATCTGTAAAAACAAAATTTGGAAAACAGCTATAAGGATGGAAACTAGAGGGGGTATAAGGGGCTTGTGCCGGCTTTTTACGGCAATATGAACAAAGTATTAATTCAGTCGAAATATGGCCTTTATTGGGTTCAAAAGAAACAATTTATTCTCAAAGGCTCTTTTGTGCAATGCTACGTTATTACGAAAATCTTTGGGAACATAAAACTTTAATATTTTCGCGGCCCCATTGCCTTACCGCGGCTCCTCTCTTTAGACGATTTTATTTCCCTAAAATTAGATCTAATAAAGGAAGTAATATTTCAAAAGATAGGATAAAATTGAAACACCGCCATAACAAAAGCTATTTTTTTTGTATTGCAAGAGGGATAACTGCAAAGTTTGGCAGACGAAAACAAGACTGAACAATAAAGATTGCATTGTGTCAACTCACTGGCTTTTGCAAATGCTTCTGCAGGGTTGGATCTAAGAAACTCAACGCAATGCCACTAACAACAATCGATACCGCTACGGGATAAAAAGATTCATGGATCCATTTAGAACTCAATGAGAATATCTACGAATTGATCACACCAGCAATTTTATGAATCTGTGGAGAGCTATAAGAAAGAGACGCTCTAAAAACGGTTCAACGAAAGAACATATTGAGTTCAAATACAGTTAGCAGATAATTCCTTGCAGCAGACACTTCGAAACAACGGACAAACAATTTTGTCCCGAAATACCTTCTTAACAAACAAATCTCTGTAGATATAGCCTCCAAACAATGTTCGCTTCAGGGGCTCCGATGCAAGTTGGAGAGTGGGGGAAGAGCAAAGGCAAACTACAGATTCTGACCAAAAGATTTTACAGATATTTTGCTTTAAAAATAGTGTGGGGGTATGCCCAGCCCCCATAGTCCCAGCCCCCTGGCCCCAACCCCCTTTTTCGAAGGCCGTGCACTTCCGTACAACGGAGAGTCTCTGATCCAACCGATGCTCGCAGATGTCCCTAATGGAAATGTTCTACTGTACGTACACAGCAAGGTATTATGATTATCACGAAATACATACCAACAACAATTATTGCGGGTATCTTTAACGCCCGCCATAATGCTCCTTTATCTGTTTCTGATGTTTCAGTTCCTATAATGAATTGATGGATCATACAGTCAATATTTCCTATAAATGATTTAGTGTCACGGGATAAGTTAACTGAGTTCGAACATGTACACTTCTAAAATGACCTAAAAAAGCAATTCTTGTCTACTTATTGTGATCTTGAAAACCCATCTTTTCAAATTTTCTTCATTCTATCAGAATTGGATCATTTTTCATTCCATTATTATTATCCCATGCTTGCTTGGCAAAAGACCCTACGTTACGAAATTTTATTATCCATTAAGGAAAATAAATGGCATTTCGGGCTGACCCATATTGGAGATTCGCAGAGTAGCACGTACTTTCCAAATGTTTAAAGGCAGTATACATTTGGCTTGGTTAACATTGAGAGTATCGGTTGTATGATGTTTTCGGAATAAGGTAATCAATGGTATCGATGCTTGTTATCAACACGAATCAACAATAACGAAATCTGCAGCATAAGGCTTTGAAACCTGACAATCAGCCTTCACATGTTCATTACCGCAAAGGCAGTTTATCACAGGCTTTAAGCGCCGAATTCATAAACTCGACAGCAGGGAGGCGATAACCTGCGTGCAAACTCGACTGGTTTCCCTGTAGGTTGACTGGTGTTTCAACATCGATGGGGTGATGCGTTTTGTGAAACTCTCACCTACCACCAAACATTTTGCACTTAAAAGTAATTTAGCCTTTATTTCTACATTTTATGAAATAAGAAAACTGTTGACCAATAGATGTCTGATTATCAATTAACAAATTTCTAAGATTCAAACAAAAAACATTTTTGAGAAAAATGACAATATGTTAATAAAAAAATTGATTGAGGAGAACTGGTGTATAATGAACCCACTAGTATCATCTTTTGGAAGAATGAAATAAATTGGTATCGAGCTGACAAGCGCAAGGATTCCAACAGCTAGAAAGGGCAACTTGAATCCACCAACCTTGAAAAAGACATGAAAGTTTTCAACAAACATTTGTATATCCATTGTCACCTATCGGTATCAACATCAACGGCAGCATACAAGCTTCAGACCTATATTACCTCTCCTTCAACATTTTAGAGGAGCTATCTCAGAAAGCCATTATATGCATACAAAGAGACTTAGAGGAACCAAAGAAAAGTTATAGACACCAAAAGGTGTTGGGTCAGTTGACCTTGTGCCTATCTATGTTGTCAAGTACGAATCCCAAATGGAGTTATACTGTACTTACTGAATACAGAAGTCCGCCAATAGGGGGACCTGCCATCATTCCAAAGCCACCAAATGTTTCCATTATGCCCTAAGAAGGGATAGAATCAGTTTAAAGAACAAATCAGTTTAGCTCAAAGAAATAAAATCAAGAGAATTCAAAAAGTTTGGCAATCTGGCAGAGAGTCAAAGAGGAAACAAAGCAGAAGTAAATTAATATAGAGATTTAAAAGTTTTTAACCTTACTGAATGTGCAGTTTGTTGGAATATATTGCTCTGATAAAGACCAACATATATTTAGCTAGTTATGAGTCAAAATGAATCAGGGGAGATTATAGTTTTTTATAAAACTTTGAAATTATGCTCAAGATTGAGAAATAACTTTGAAATCAGATTAAATTTATAAGTCTTGGAAGCATCTTTGGGTTGTGCTTTATCATCTTCAGTACTGCATTCAGATTAAGGACCGTCCAATAAGCACTGTTATCTTCATAGAGTCAATGTTAAACAAATCAGATAGAGGTGTTGCTCAGCTGGGAGTCAAAGCTTTTTTTAAGGTAATTTCACTTTTTTATAACTAACTGAAACAAGAAAATTCCTTTTTACCAGCAAGGCTAAGCTACTTATTACAGCATAAGGTAGGTTGAGAGAATTTTCTCTTCTGTCCACGAATCAAGTATGAGAAAATAATTCATATTATTTTTATAAACTGCAAAAAAGTAAGACTAATTAACATTTTACTAAATGCAGTTTTACAGATCATAAACTCTCAGTGCGTATTATATTGCACAAAATTGGAAAAAATCTTACCACAGCTGGGGATAGGTTGTCTTTGAATGTTTGTGTTATTATTGTTAAGGCAGATGTTGACGTTGCAGCTCCACCAATGGCACTCACAATTCTAATCAGGAAGCAAAATGCAACAAATGTTTCTTTGTCTGGCATCATATCCACAAAGCTGTAATAAAATAAAAGAGGAGAAATAAAAAAACATGTAAAAGCCAAATGTCATTGCCAGAATGAATTAGATTTGTCAAAAGCTAGGTAGGTAAATTTTTAAAAACATTTTTGGAATATTTTGTAAGGAATTATAGTCAATATTATAGTCAATAATTTCTAAACAGGGGGTGCTCTCCTTTATTAGCCTAGCTACTGAGCGAGCCCTTCCTTAAGTAATTCCCCAACATACAATTCACTTGTTTTTCATGACTACAGTAAAAGCTCTATTAAGCCCCCTAGAGGCTTATTTATTTCTTTCTGTCTTAGAGGGGGGCCTATTGGAGAGGGAGGGCTTGTTAACAATTCAATGTAAAAAATGTTATAAAAATACCCTTTTTTGTTATGGAAATGTCATACAAATGTTGTCAAGATCTTTGCTAGCAGCTTTGAAAGTTTCTCAAAATCAATCAATTATAACTTCTTCATCTTTGAGTCACCAGGATCAATTGATATCTCCTGGGACACCTTCTAAACAAATTTCGCTGACTTCTAAGGGGCTCAAGTAAGTATTTACACGGGCCTTCTTTAATGCACATAATCTTATCGTCATCACACCCATCAAAAGACCCAATTAATGCACATTTTTTTTTTGACATTGGGGGTTAAGAGGGGGGTTTAATAGAGAGCGGGCTTAATCAAGCTTTTACAGTATGCATAATTTATACTGTTTTCTTTTAGTTTTTTCTGTAGCATTTGTCATGTATTAGTTAATTAGCTCATATGTTATACTAAATGTTATTAAACTTTTGTCATTTTGCATTGTATATAGTGCATTGTATATTTTGCATTGTATATAGTGGAATTTTAAAATTGCTTGAAACTGAAAATGAAATTGTCTTATGAAACTCAGGGCAGCAAGGAGGGGAGCAATACAACCAACATGCACTTTTTGGTTTCTGTAAACTGAAGGACAAGCAAGAGAAGTTCTGAATGCTTAGGCTAAAACTTAAGGTAATAAAGAGGCAGCACATGTGCTGGGGATCTTTTGACTTAACAGTTGCAGCTACACTTTCAAAAGTCTTTAACTTTTTCTCTGCTCCTGCTCAAACTGACATGTTATGATGCCTGAAGAATAGTTTATTGACTGGTATAAAAAACTGCATGCAATCCAGCAAATACAAACCCAAAGAGAATCTGAGTTCCACCCTCTATAATCAAGCCAAGAAGTAGGACTGTCTTTGGTCCTGCTATTGGTATCTGAAAGAAAAATGATAACCTGCAAGCATTTCTTTGGTAATGATGCTATATCCTTCAAACAGCTCTATTACCAAAAATCATAAACATATTGCAATCATTAGCATATGATTTGCTCTAAAAAGCTAAATGCATACCTCTCAAGTCTTATTTGTTCAGCCCAAGTTTTGCGCAATGTCAGCAATTTTCAAAACTGATAGTGGGTAGTGGTTGTACCGAGTCATTTTCTTTTGGTTATTAACATTAAGCTTTCATTCTGCATTTGTTTTGAAACCAACAAAAATAATGAATGGCATTTGAAATAAACACTATGGCTTTCTTATGGTTTATTTACCGTTTTATACACAAACTTATGGCTAAATACACAAAATCTTATGGCAGGACACAACAGTAGCTTGACAGGTATGTAAATGTATGTTTTATCCATGGCTGATCTTGGGTGCAGCTTAAACATTCTGAATGAGGTGGCTTTCATAAAACATAGTAATTTACAATGGAAGGGTCATGTCTTCAGAAAGAGCAATCATTCCTTAAAAAAGAAGGTATCATGTCTATACATGTTAACATTACTGCTCCCTCATGGTTGACAAAAATTATGAAAAGTGAATGTGAGGAAATGACATAACCAGGGAAAGACTTAAAACATTGACCAGCTACATCTCAACAGTTAGTCATAACTGTTATAATAATGCAATAGTTAAGGTCACTTACAAGAATTCCAACAATTGGAGACACAAAAAATATAGTCAAAGGATAACTAGCAAATATCATTCCAACAGTAGACAAACTTGCACCTTTCTGGCTTGCCTAGAAGACAAAATTAAGATTTGCTTGAAAATTTGAACTAGTCTTTATACCCACCAATAAGTCAACCCCTCAATCTTTTAATTTTTAGGTTAAAAAGTTCAACCAATGTGAAGTCTAAATATAGTGCTATTCTAAATGGAGGGAATAAGATGTTGAATAATGATTTGAAAGCAAAACCATATGGAATGTTTCTTTTATATTTTATTTGCATCAAACAGACCGACTTTAGGGGTTGAATAATACATGGGTCTGCCTTGTAACCAAGATTTAGATCATTTGAGCTAAAACAGATCATTTGACTAAGAAGTCAACTCGTGAAATAGTATTTTACTGTATCTTGCATAATTAGCTTAACTGCGTCTCTTGTTACAGGCAAAACAACAAAATATTTAACAGGAAAACGAAATGGTATATTGTCAAAGGGCCTGTTTATATGGAGAAAATTATCCCACCTTCTAGACTGTGAGCTGAGAGGTGAGATTCCACTCTTCTATAGAATCCTTTCTGTTTTTTCATTTTGTGTTTATATGGGAAACAAGCCAGCTTGGTTAAGTGAGATCCCACTGCATGAGAGGTGGGATCTCACTGAGGTGGGATGAATTTTTTCCATATAAACACTGTAAAGTGGGATGAAGCTTGAAGTTGGGATGAATTGTTGATATGAACCTGATTAAATTTTGTTCCACTTGTCAGCACACAGGCTGGAAGGTGGGATGATTTTTTCCATAAACAGCTGGAAGGTGGGATAGAATCAGCATGTGAAAATTTAATGATTTCATCTCACCTGCCAGACTATGGGCTGAGAGGTGGGATAAATTTGCTCATAAAAACAGGCCCAAAGTCAGGGAAAACATCAATGGTCACGCCCCCTTCTCATTGTCTTCGAGTCACATGCCACATGATAGATATCAACAATCGTTGGGTCAAATCGTGAGTGTTTTACGTACATTTAAATATGAGAACTCGATTACGGTCTTTTGTAATTTGAGAAGTAGGCCTTAAGTGCTCTGTCTGTGTCAAGTCTGTGACAAATAAACCCATAGTACTTTCTTGGCTCGTAAAACAATCCCAACAGGCAAGATACCTTGCATGAAAGTCTTAAGAGGGGAATGGGGGTTGGGCAACTCCCAATTATTATTATAACTACGTTGCCTATCTAAATCACAATTATTACGTGGGCTTTCATTTCTCATGTTGTTTGACGATCAAAATATTAAGTGCGTAAGTAAAGGTTTGCAGGCAGGTACCAACCTCTCCAGGGAAGAAAGGTGCTATCATTGCAAAGGCACAACCAACTATAAACCAGTAAAGCGAAATGGAAAATAAAATTATCGTTTTTTTTCGTGTAAACATGCTCTCTTTCTTAATGTGTCATCAGAATCAACATCATTGTTGACCGTTTTCGCAGCTCCATTTGTTTCATCTTGACCTTTATCCTCCTCATGCGAAGTTTCCGAGACTCCATCGACATTTTCGAGCGAATTATATGTTTTGTTTGTCATTTTTAATGTATAATACTATGTTGTAATTGTGCTATGTTGCTATTTGTCCGTCGATTTATAAGCATGCAGCTTGGGTTCATACTTGCATTGCGCTTGTGCAACAATTCTCAGTTCTCACCTCATGAAAATTTAAATTGAGAGTCGACACGAGGCTAGGAAATTTGAGCCCGGAACAGGAAATCCCCAAATGAGAAATCCCCATAAAGGTATAGAAATCCCTCAGGAGGACTTTCAGGGAGGCTTGGCTAAATTCTGGGTTGGGGTCTGCCGTGAGCAAACTCAATGGGATACCACTGGCTACAAGTTGGCTAGACTAATTCTTAAGAAAATGGTACTGTTGGCTGGAGCTGGACTAATTTTTCCAAAATTGTTTCATTAACTAGTTTATTATCAACAAAAGTGGGTTGTCAGGATGAAATTCGTACTTTCAAATGCTTTGTGAAGGATTAAATATACATTTTTTATATAAAATGCTGCAAAAATTTGTCAATTTTTTATACTTTTAAACCTCAGGCCCGAAGTATAGGAAAGCCCCGATGATACATGCTCTACAGCGTTGGATGGACTTTCTTGCAGTCCCTTCCCCATTGAGGCTCTGGTACCCAGGGTAGCCTTCGTAAATAGGTGCCCCGTCTCAGATTTTTCTTAGGGCCCTAGATCCACAAAAAGGACCACTCTTAGGTCCACAAAAACTACACAACAAAAAATATTTCAAAGCTTATTCTGACAAGAGTATTCACATAGCCAATGAGAGGGTAGAATGTGAATATGGAGAAGATAAGAGAGAAAAGTATGGCAAAAAAGAATTTCGTAAAACTTGATCAATCCAATCGAAAGGAAGCATTTGGGGGTATTGAATGCAGTAGAACAATTGATTATGGAAAATTTATATCAAAGGGAGAACTGAACCAGAAGGAAAAATTATCGCCATAATACCAGATAAATGGACGACCATTTCAGAATGTGCTGGCTTTCATATTCGATAACAATCTATTTGTGAATGCATAGATAATAAAGCTACACACTTTTTGTATAATAATAAAGTCTATAAGAATATTAAAGCTCAAAACCGCTAGAATTTAAAAGTAATTCAAGAATAATGGAAGGCTCAAGCTTCTTTCAGAATTATTTTCTTTTGCTTATTTGAGTTTTTAGGAAAGCAAATCAAATGCGAGATTCACGCTTTATGTTTTGAAATCAAAGTATCCCCTTGAAGTCTGTGGAAAAATACTTTAGCACGTGACTTCCGTATTGGGAGGCGTATATTTTTTGGGTAGTTGCGTAGCAGTGAGAGTAGAGACAGGATGTATTTTCTTCAGCCTATAAAAAGGGGCTTTTTCTACAAAGTCATCAACACTCTAATGCGACCCAGTTACACCTTGTGTCGGACTGAAATGATGTAAGATTATTCTTAAATCATTTCAGAAAAATCTTATGCACAAATTCATAAATTCATAAAAATTTAAGAACATCGAGGCTCAGCAAAAAAATAAATATTCTTATAAAAAAGAGTGTACGTATTCTTTGGATGGCAATTACCTTTCAAAAATTCTATCGGCTTTACGTATAAGACGTTGTTTTCGGCATTGAACATTTATTCTGTAAACAAACAGAGAGAAATGACGTTGTTTTCAAAAATAACCCTTCGTTCAACATTTATCTTAATCTTCGTTCTCTAATTAACAACACATGTACTGTTTGATGAAATTAAAACAAAATAAAATATTAAGATTTTCAGCGTTTCAATATGTGGATGCTACAAACAGATTCATGTTCGTTATGCAAGCTTATCTGGGATTTTATAGAACGGTGTCCATCAAACACATCCTAAAATAGAAGCATTTCAACACGCTTTTTTGCCCTTTTGAAGCCCCGCATGCCGGGGCGAAATATTACCCATCGCTGATTTGTGTGTTTGTTTTTGTTTATTCTCGTCGTGTTGCAGTGTTCCTACTATTTCAACACATCTTGCTTGAATTTGTGTTGGCCATTGTTGATTGCTGTTGAGTTTACATACAAAAAATTTTCGTCTAAAACATTTCAGGGTAAATAAAACGTCAGAATATACATAGAAAGAAAAATATAAGATATGCTTTGGATGAGTTTAAAAAATAAATTTAACATGGAAAAGGATATTGTTTGAAAATGAAATCTTGAAATATTTAGAATGATGAAGTATTGCTCATTGGAGCATTTAATTTGGTAACAGCTATCAATTAAACAAATACAATGGATATTTTAGGTGTATTTTACTCTTCGGGGTTTTGTAATCCTCAGGCAAACAGAAAAATATCAAAGATATTTTTTCTGCGTTGGGAGAAAAGAACGGGCCCCACTTCGAGAAAATGCCTCAAAATCGTTTCCTTCGCAGAAGCAGGAGCGACGTCAGACAATTTGATTAACAACAGGAACAACAACAGACTGCTGATGCATAACAAATCAGACATTTTCAAAGGGATTCCACATGTAATCAATATCCAAGGAATTATGAACATTTATTACGTGTTTCACGTTACAGGTTATCTTTATTTACGAAGTACGGTGAAGCTCGACCAGCTGAAGTCAAATCCAGCGTTATTGAAATCTTGAATTACGAAGGAAGTGATCGATTTGCTTGCAACCGCAGTTTGGCGGGAGAAGACTCAACCCAACACACAATCCGATTAATTTTCCAGCTTTGTTCATGCCTAAATAACTTTCAGTTGAAGCCCAATACAATATGGCTAACTTCATCATCCAGTACCACAGAAGAGTCTTTCTAGTTGTTCTAAGTATTCATTTGGTAAGTCGTTTCACAGATAAACAATCGCATTTTATGCTTGCTATATTTTATTGTGAAATAGGCCCTTTATAACATCTACACTAAAGATAACATAGATGCTGAGAATAGGGCCTAATAAATATGTATTGACCGCTGGAATATCATTGATTAAAAAGTCTTACTATTTTAAGCATTTTGAAAGAGTTATTCTTTTTTTAAATTCAGATTTTTTTTTTAAATTCAGATTTACAGGAAGTTATAAACTCAAAATTCCCCGTTCCGGGTTGACGTCATTGATTTTGTATCTCGCTATCTATGGATCTTTCTCAAAAATGGACTTTAAAATTGAAATCTTCATCTTTAAATTATTTTACAATGAAAAAATCATGTTGTTTGGATCATGTTGGTCGCGAGTTACTTTGTTTTGAATATTTAGATATTTCTTTAGATTTGACCGGAATTTGTTGCTGCAGTAAAAAATATTTCACTACAGCAACAAATTCCATTGAAATGTATAGGAAAAGTTGAATCTTGAAAATGGGTTAATTCGCTGTCTGACGGCCCTAGCAACTTGAAATTTTTAGCATGAAGATTTTAATTTCAACATGAAGATTCCAATTCGATGATCCATTTTTGCCAATGTGAAGATAAAAATTGCTCGGATCAGAGAATAGCATCATATTGCCCACTATCACTTTGGATGCTCCTCATAGGATTTTGTCTAAATTAACATAAAAAGTTTATCAAGAATGCATATTACACCAAAGATTTTGACAATTTTTTCAAGGCTATAAGTTCATACTCTACCCCTGCCTAGGCCTGTCTCCAGGGTAGTGACTGAACATTTTTACATATGGGAAGGTCCATCTGCAGTTATCAAAATTCACTTAAAAGTATCAAAGAAATTTAGCAGACCCGTAGTTATCAGCTTAAAGGTGTAGATTAGACAAGTATCAAAATACAAAATGTTGAGCAGATAAGATACCTCTAGTCACAGTAATTAAGATCGTTTCCTGTAATAATCAGTTTAAACACATCTGTTTTGATGTTGTTATGTTTTAGTTGAACTCATAAGGATAAAAAATGTATGTTTTTAAATCGGGTATCAAAAAGTATCAGACCCTGATGGCCTGTCGCTAGTTATTGTGCTGAAGGGTGGTTTCCATGTCCAATTTGCAGACAAAAAGGGGTGAGCCACCCTGTACTTTCCGACAAGTTTGGAAATTTGCTGACTCGACACCCCAAGATGGCAAAAACCCCTCATTTTTGCAATGGAATTATTTTTCATGGGGGTTTCATAGAGTAACAGGCAGCAGGGGCGTTGTGGCTAGGCGGGACACCAGGAGATTTCCTGATGGGCCCCTTACAAGTGATTTTGTAATACCCAGGAAAATATTTTAACAGAATAATTTCTTTTGTGAAATGATCTCTCATCTATATAAAGCTTATAGTTATGAACTAGAGATTTTTGATAAAATTAAACATAAAGGGCACCGTTGATAAGGTGCATGGAATTTGAAAGGAATGAAGGTCAAACAGAAGATGATCGGCTAGAATGAGGCTTGGGCGACCTGATGGAAGGGCCTTTGCTTTTGAGAATACCGTGAATTCAAGAATTAGCACTTGGAGGCTTATTAATTAGACAGTTTTTAGATGCGGGCATATTTTTTCTGGAGCCTGTACTAGAAGGAGCTTTTAAAAGCAGAAGAGGACTGGCCCAGGTATTCAAGTTGATGTGGCTATTTAAGGGGTTGAAGTAGATTCCTCTTATAGTCACTCCACTTAAGTCACATAACATTTTATTCTAAACATCATAAGCTGCTCAATTTAGCCTGGTTTCCAGTCAAGCTCTGCTTCCAGTCACAACTTTTTATGCAACATTTATTGTGACTTTGAAAGTCTTCTGTAGAAGATTCCCAAAGAGCAAAGGGATATAGCTAGATCTAGCCAGGGGCGGATACAGAATAAAAGTTGAAGGTCACACATTAACACTGCCCAGCAGGCGGTCTAGGGGACCTCCCTCATGGTCGAGGGCAGAGCCATGATGGGGGCCCAGCCCCCCGAACCAGAGCAATTAGGACTGGGGCCCTGAAACGTTCAAATTGTTCAGTCAAACATTTTTCCCTTTAAAAGGTTTTCCAAATTTTCCAGCAAATCCAACACGCAGTTGAAACAAAATATCTTGAGATTCAGAAGTGTATTCTTCCTGTGCACCGCTTCCGTATAGATAAAGAAAATTGGGACTCCTCCCTTTCACAACTTACAACCTCATCCACTTTCTTCTCTTGCCAGCAGTTGTGCAGCACAGTAATCTAACATAGTGTTTACAGACTTTTCCTGCCACACAAATATGTGATAACTTGAATTTTGATTGGTGAGATTTGGTAAAATATGCTTAAAACGTCATGGCAAATAAGGGCAACAAGCTTAAAAATCATACTCTGTTTACGGTCTATGGTGGTCTTTGAATTTCTTCTATATTGAATTAAATTGCAGCATTGTGTGTGAGATCGACCAAGTTCGGTCCTGCGTTTATTGTGTAAAGAGAGCAAAATGTATTATCTGTAAGGAGGAAAACAAAATATTGTGGTAAACACGATTGCCTTATTTCAATGACTGAAGACTAAAACTAAATTCTGAAAATCTGACGGTCTTCCGTGCGACCTGTGCGACACCCTGAATCCGCCCCTGGATCTAGCTGCATTTAAGCCTCAAAGCTTCAAAAAATTGAAGAGTTGTTTGCATAAGATATAAATGCCCTTTCAAAGATCTCACGCTCAGCAAAAGTTGACAGAAGAACTCTCCAAGAGATGCTTTATTTGACCGTCTCTTTTATTGCTTGATTATTTGATTATTTGGTTATTTTTATTGCTTGATCTTTTTACTAACTTCTTTAGGTCTATTTCTATTATTTGTCTATTATTTGCATATAGATCCAGTAAATAACTTCTGTATCATTGCAATGTCTGCATTTTGAATGTGTGAACACGGCCTACTGAAAAAACTCGAGGAAAAGAAGATGCACATTTCTGTTCAAGAATTAAAATTCTATCAATCAATGCAACACAGCTTCTTGTAATTTACATTGATGTGCACCTGAACCAAAGGTCACCCTTTCTTTCTTTCCCCAGTGTCTGTCAATAATCAATGCTTGTCTAAGAATCATGAAATTGTCTCTTCTGAGTGGTATAGTAATTTGATAGATTTAAGTCTAGGAGATGCATTTTTGGAATCAGTCAACCAAGGTGTTGAACACTAGCCTACCAAGTCTCACACATTAAGTGAGAGACAATAGGAAACACAATAGAAACAATATATCTTATTAGATAGAAATCTCAATCTCTTGCATCTGACAGCTTGACAGCTATCTCAAACCTGTCTTTTAATTGTGGTATCTTTCCATTATCTCTTCTGTTTTCATCGTAGCTTGTGGCCTTGCAGCGTTTAGTATTTGACTTTCTGGGTTACATTTGGTTGCTTGTAATCCTGGGAATTGCAGAACTTATTTTCATAATTGTTGGTTTATTTGGTGGCTATCAACAAAGGGCAAAGTACTTGTTAACTGTAAGTATGAATATCATTACTATTATATCATTTAACATCACAAAAATGTAGGCTGTTTTGATAAGAGAATATTCATTTTTGCAAAACAAAACACAACATAATATAATTTTGAAAAAGCTATTGGAAGCTACTGTATTGCGCTGTGTAAAAGACACACCTTTTTTCGAATTGTCATTGTTTTTGTTTGATAATATGCATCTTATACCTGGTAAATTTGACGTCCTATAATTTCCTTTGAAGGCAAAGTGTCATTTTATAGACAAAATAGTATGATATTAGAAGCACCTGTTCTCTTAATTGGGATCATCACTCTTTTACCAAAAAGTTATTAATAACTTCAAAATTATCCAGCCGCGATAGAAAAATCATCTGATAAGAGCTCTTTTACTCCCAAATAAAAGGGTTGTACCCTGCATTCTCTTAATTGAAGGGCACATCCCTATAATTGTTGTGAATGTTGTGAATGAAACGGATGATGAACAAGAATTTTATGGATTTTAAAACCTGTAAACGTTAATGGTGATTTTGATTATTTTATTGATAAACTCTCTACTTGATGATTTGAAACATTGTGGTTTGAATGAGTTTACCTCCACAGAGTTAGTGTCTATAGTGTTCTTGAGTTCATTCTTTCACTTAAGGATACATGCTTCACAAGAACTGAGAAAAGGGGGTGTGTCTTATAAATGATAAGACACTGCAAAAACTATTTTTTCAGAATTCAAGCATGGAGTTAAGGATGTGTCTTATACACAACAAAATACAGGATACGAATATTGCAATGAAGACTTTGTTAGGTAAATGTATGAAATCACCAAATTGTTGATAAATAATTGTTTAAAGTAGAAGCTTGATGCTGATCCATTTACGATATGTCAAGCAAACACATAATGCAGTGAAAATTAAATCATTCTGTTTGCTGCCATCACACCTAGGAATTTGCAGTCTGCCAATGAATTCTGTACCTTTGCTATAGTTGCTAATGTTTTACCAATTTTCCAGTTTGCTGTCTGGTCTGTGTTTTGGATACTGCTGAACATTGTTGTTATGATTCTCTACATTGGTGTTGGCTCTTTTACACATGTGGGTATAGAATGTTTTACCATATTGTTGCTATGACAGTTCACCAATCTTTCCAGTTTGCTGTCTGGTCTGTGTTTTGGATACTGTTGAACATCGATTCTCTACATTGGTGTAGGCTCTTTTACACTTGTGGGTATAGAATGTAGAAAAAATGTCAAATATGGATCAATCAAAAAGTTCAATTACCAAGAAGATGGATAAAAATTATGTTTGACAAGCTGTGACTGGAAACTTCAAGTTTTAATATCAAGCAAAGATTTATAAGAGTTTTTCCTTTTTCTAGTAATTGCTCAATGATATGCTTTTTTGAATAATATCATTTTTAGAGAAAAGGTGGTACTTTAAAGAGTTGCTTAACTTGATGTTATGTTTGTAGACTCTTTGTTAATGAATGAGATTCACTGAGTAAAAGTAAAACTATTCTTTGAAGGACAATAATTGGCTGAGTTTTAATCAGAAGAATTCAAGTTGGTATGCAGAGCACGGGATTGGCTGTAAGCTAGAAAAGGAACCCCATTCATTACAAAAGGTTCCCAAAGGATGTGCCTTGAATTTCAAGGTATGGTTTTGCATGCCTTTTGAATTCTTACTCTCCTTTTTTCTTCTTCTCTTTTACTATGGTTTCCAATCAGTATTTAGTCTAATGGTCAGGTAGCTCCTGCAAGCCTGACAAATGACGCACTGTATCAGCTTGATGTAAGCCTGACAAACAATATCAGCTTGATGTAAGATCTGCAGTAGTGTGGGATATGTGAAAAAATTTTGGGCTGTTAAAAGTCTCTCGAAATAGCGGGAACATTCCATACTGAGGTTCTTTTCATCTGTTTCTCTTTAGAGTAAACATGTAGGAAGATGTGTTTGCTTGGTTCTTTTGTTTTTTCCAATCTGTGACCGCAAACCTCTCATTGAGTTGAAGAGTTCAAGACAGAAAGCGAACTCTTTTTGTTTACACACGTTTGGACTGTTCAGTTTTAATGAAAACCTATTCCAAAGCAACTAATTGAAAAGACGAACCTGTCTTCCCAATGATTTTGAAATTGTCGTCACTATTAATTCTGGCACGCTTTGAACTTGGACATGGTCAGTAGAAGAAGATAAATTGATGGAAAGAAGCCAGATCATTTGGTAATGAATATTGCATTGAAAAATGAAAGATACCTTTTTCTTAAGTAATTTTGCAGTACTTGTTTGCACTAAATGTAAGTTTTAAAGTAGCAGTAATGGGCAAAGCCTATGGAAAAGTCTCTAACAAAATACAATTTTGGTTATGAATAGAAGCATCAGATTCATTGAGAAAGTCTATATCGATTTGTTTAGAATAGTTTTACAAGTTTGACAGTGTTCAAGTCGAAGTGTTGGGTCAATGTTGCCCTCCTAGATTCACGCACACAAAGGAGACTATTAGTATTAAATATTTGTTTAGGTAATTTCATAGCTACAATTTTTTATCAGCAAAGACATTCAGCAAAATGGACCATTTTATTGCCAGCTTGGAATGTTTTCAGTTGCCAAATTTTTTTACCTTATTTTAACAGGCTTCTTTTATGAACAGACCAAAGTTTTTTAGTTACAATAGTTTTGCAGGATTATTTACCTGTGAAGAACTTACGACAAAAAATCGTTTTTCTTTCTTTTGCAATGTTAAAGTAAATCAAGGATATGAATTACTACTATCATTTTTTCAGTATGTAGAAATTATCCAGGCATCGCTGCAAGTACTGCTTGGGGTGAGTAATTATTTGTTTACTTGCATATTCATTTTTGTGAAGAAAATTTTCACGGTAATTCTTAAAAAATACTTGCATTGATAGGTTCTGAGAATTTTTATGTCGTATTGCATTTGACTTAGTGGTTCGTAGCAGGGCTGCCAGATGCTTGGAATGGTTGGTGGCTAAATACTTTACGTTTGACGGCCAAATTCGGCCAGCCAACAAAATATATAAAAAATCTATATTTTTGCTAATTCCGTGGAATAACACGGCCAACGGCCAAATGGCAACCCTGGCTCGTAGAGTCATTGAGGAATTGAGGATCGTTGATAAACTGATACTTCAATACCAAGTGACTTCATTAATTTACAGTGGTGATTGTTCCTCTACAGGTAATTGGCTTTATTCTTGCGATTGGATTAAGGAAAAAGGTTATCATCGCCAAAGATGGTAGGCTCTTTTTATTTTTCAAAGTTGAGATTTTATGCTTGCTAAATGAATCACTATACAGCCAATTGTGTTGTCTTTTGGTTTTCACAAGGAGACGTTGTATAGACATTTTTCAATGCAAATATTTTGCAGAAAAAGCTCTTTCTCGGCTGCGTATTCTTAGATTTTAGAGTTCCAACCATATCTGCCATGCTGGTTTGAGAGGAAGTAACGGCGCAAAATATTTGTTTCTTCTCATTGTAAGGGCCTTAACAATTTTTCTGTTTTTCTCTCTCCCTATGAAACCACATTTCGGTGCTATTTTGGTCTTTAATTAATCTGTCTCCCATTGATTCCTTGGTGTTTTCAGTTCATTCATTCTTTATATAAAAAGCCTTTGCTGAATTTAGAAAATACCAGCTGCTTTAAAAGTGAACAAGTCCTAAATTTTTACGTAAAATAGAACAGGCTTATCAGTGCAGAAAAAATTTATATGAAAAAGAAGAAATTGTTTGTTAATGCTTGGTGTGAAGCATTATTATCGATGGCCACATTGCAATCATACAGAAAATTTCAACTGTCAAAATTTTCTTTCTTTGTTAAAAAATGTTGATCTAGCTTTTTACTGTTTCGATTTTGCCAAAACTGTTTAAGTCGATTACCGTCTAGGATTGAAATTTAGGAAGTTGTCATATTAATGCTGGGTAACAGGGTAGAAACATTGTTTGGCGGGGTAAGAAATTTTTAGCCTTGTTTTATTGGGTTATCAAATTTTGTTCACTGATTCCTGATGGGGTATCAAATTTTTTAGTACGTTTCCACCGAAGTATAATTTGTTGCATGTAACAATGATTATTGTTGTGCAGCGATGCTTGAAAGTTCAGTTTTTCTAAAGGAGAAATTGACTTGATGCACAATTAGTGCAGATTGTAAAAACACGGATCATCACCATGACTTGATAGCATAACTGAAAGTGTGAGTTAGCTGCAGCTAACTGTTATCAAATAATCTGCGTCAATAGATGAAAATGAGTTTCAATCTGTCAGAAATTTGTTGGGATGTCATTTATCATCTCGAATCAATTTGTGTATGCGCTGTAAAGGATCTCTTCCTTTGGAGAAAAAACCTTCCTTTCTGAGGTATTGTTAGAGACTCACGTTCTAAAAGGCTTACCTTGATCCTACTCATTGTCTAGCGTATGTTTCAAACAAGAATTGGGTGGTTTCAGGAATCCAATTAGCTGTTGACCTTTCCGATGTCTTGCATTGTATTGATCAACAAAAGTTGGTCGTATTCAGTTTTTCTTTAAGGCTTGTGGCTGTTTTCTGCGTCCATTATGGTGCAAAAAGCACATCACCCAAAATATCTTGCTACTCTCGAAAAATTCCTCTTTATACGTTCAAAAACAAATGACTGGACTATTTGGTGCACCATCCTTAAAGACTCATTGCTAACGAGCCATTGCGCTACGCAAGCATCCCATAATGCATTTTTAGACAGGCTGAAATCAATTTTGGTTAATCCATAGAAGTTTACTGCCATTGTTTGGATCGTCGCCACGCTCGCAAAGGCCCATTGTTAGCAATGAGTCTTTAATTCTAGCTTAAATTGGGTGAAATATGACAAAAAACTGTAAGGGCTGCAAATTTTCACTGATAAATAGTTTACATAAAAGGAAGCGAGGAATGGGTCATGCATTTGAAAGATAAGGCTGCTCCCGTATTTAAACTTAGATAGGTTTCTTTATCAAAATTCTACCAAGTACTATTGAAAATTTGCAACTTTCATGGTCCCTTTAAATGTAAGCTTTATATAGGGATATATTGTGTTAATTGTTATTTATTGTTTTTCTAAAAAAAGGCTCCCTCAAACCCCCCCTCCCCCCCCCCTACCCTTCTATTATTGTCACAAAGAATGCGAGAAAATGCACGAATATCCTTTAAAGTATTTTGACAATTATGCCAACCTGCAATTCGAATTTCCAATTTTGTTGGTTCGGATTTAACTAAAACGTCTGACTGTAGTTTTGGCACCATCCTATTTCTATGCAATGTTTGTAACAATAGGTTAAATGCCATTATAGCATCCTTATGCCTAATTCTCTTGGCCTTAGTGTATGTTGTTGGTAGAGTCAACCCATATGCGTCCTACGTCAAATCAAATCAAGCAGCTCAGGTTTCGAGGTCAAGACCGGCAATTATAACCACGTAAGTAATTTCTTTAGTGTATTTCGAATTTTTGAGGAGAAGTTTTATACCTTACTGTATAATATAGTATCACATTATATAATATATAATGTATTATGATATTTTCAATTGATAGTCCAGTATAATGTAGTGCAATATTATATGATATATCACAATATAATATAGTATAGTTTAATGTAATATGATATGATTTAAAGTAATTAACTTTAAATTACTTGGATATATGCATTATGCATGAAGAGTTCTCATTCCAAATAATAATTTGAAAATGGCTGTGAAAAAAGCAAACATATTGACTAAAAGCTTTTTCGTCTGACATTCCTCAGAGCATAAACACCTTGCTAGATCCACAAATGGGTATATATTTTTCATTGTGTTCTTTTGGACCCTTGTTCTGACGTTTTATGCTCTGAGGGGTGTCAGACGAAAAAACTTTTAACCAGTATGTTATAACCTGTTTGCTTTTTTCAAAGCCATTTTCAAGTTCGGTACTGCCAAAAAATTGTTCAAATAATGATTTATGTAAAATGACAGTAAATCTACGATATGTAAACGATAAGTCACACACATATTTGTTTTATTTTTTCAAAGATACAATTGAATGGCTGAAAAGTTGGTAATGATTTCATTATTTGGTATTTTGGCAAAAAAGTTTATTGATGTGAATTGCGAAACTTTTTTGGAAAAGTTATTGTGCAACTGGCTGTGTTGTGCAAGAAGATGTTCACTTAACTATTTCCCACGAAAAAGATCCTCTATTGCTTATGGATGTAGTTTTCAGCTAGAAGGTGGGAAATTTTCTTTTGGGGGGGGGGGTGATTTGGAGGGTAGAGCGATAGTTTCAGTTTTTGATGACAAGAATTAGAATATGTTAATATTCTTTTAAGACTCGTTTATTTGATATCATTCGAAATGATATCATCAATGTTTATCAATGTTTTATTGAATCGTATACAATGCAGCTTCATATGAAAGGGTTTATTATTTTTCCAGAAGAATAATTTTAAAGTCGTGTTGTGTATTTTGTATTTTGAACATTTTAGTTTAAGTTAGCTCCAATTTTACTGGAAGTAATCTTGAGGAATTTTACTTGGGGAAGGGGGGTGAAGAATCTCAACATTGTCTGTCCAAGATTATAGGTTATGCAGCCTGTATAATTCCCTTAGAATGGTGTTTCCCTGAAGTTTCGCTTATATGTGCAATTTAACGTTAATTTTTGGATTTTTTTAGTATGCAATGTTCTTCATTTAGGTAACAACTTTGACTGTTTTATAGGTTAAGTAGAAATTGTTAGGGTAGCAGTTATTTAACCTATTTGGTACTTGGCAGAATATTCTGAAAATTATGTAATTATTCGTGTCGAAAAGGCATAAATCAGCTGTTGGTATTTTGCAAATAAAATTTAATTTCAACGTGGTTCAAGCCACACTGTCAAATAGTATTCGACTAATGAGGGTCATGGAACTGTAAAACTCCTTTATAAACATATATCTCTTCGCTCGTCCGTTCGGTAAATAAGATGTATTTTCATCTGCTGAATAACTTCATGAGTGGTTTAGGCCAAAACTCACGCATAACACCTGCGCCTAGCTCTTAGCCAATTCCATCCATATTCATGACATGCATGCCCGCCTGTGTCAAGGTGATGAGTGCAGAGAACTAAAGAGAAAAATAACCCGCTTTATGAATTAAAGTCGCCTTAAAAACGGAGATAACGTGGAGATCGACCGCCGAAGGCATTGCAGGAATAAAACACTACATGGCATAAAACAAGCGGTTTTACACGAAACACATGGCTTCATGCAGCTAAGAGCTGATTTTATTTTCATATGACGCGAATTTCTAGTGGATGATTGTGGCAATTTCCCTTCGCATTTCATTCATGACAAACCGTAATATACACCAGGTGCAGGAGGACTCTTCATTTATGTCTGATACTATCATTTGAGTATTTTCGCTTCGATCATGAGGTCAGTTAAAATGATCGACATCATAGTACCAAGGGCTTTCGAAGCCACAAACACTATCATGTGTCAATTGCACACCGTATTCAATTATATGTAGATGACTTCGTTACTGTGCGTTTTAGCGTTGGGCTTGTTGCGCTGTTTTGTAGTTTATCAGTCCTTTAATGACTCGTTTGTATCAAACAAGGAAAGCAGCAAACCTACACAAAAGGCTCAAGGCCCCCCCCCCCGTTTTTTTTTAATTTGAAGGCCCTCAGTTTCAGCGACAATTTACTAGTAGATAGTTCTTGACGTATATACCAAGTATGATAATAGACAAACGGAATCATTAATTAATTACGCATTGTTTCAGTGAATTTTAGGATGTTGTAAAATATTAATCAATTTTTGTACGCAGAATAATGCAGATATGTAAGCTATGTAAGTCCTATCATGGCCTTTTTTCTCGCGGATGTCTCCAATCAATTAAAGTTACATCGAAGGAGACTTTGTATCCACGCTTCACTGTGCATTGTTTGAAGATTAGAGAATTTTGATGGATGTTCAGAAATAAAGTGCACTTACCTTTTTATGTTAATGGTGTGCAGTAATCCCTAATGAAAACACTAGCCCGAAACCGGTAAGTAGCTGCCAACTAACCAGCAGGGGGGTATTTTTGTACGTGAACCCTTCCAAATGCTGGAGAACGACCCTGTTTAAAAGCATATTCAAATTAAGCTATGCCTATTGTTTTTCTTTAACTTGTGACTGATTTTGGACTTTCTTAGACACCAATTGTGGGGCCGCCCCGTGCGCCCACCTCTACGCCAGGTAAGGTATTGCTCAATGTCACTTTCAGCTCTCTTGTGTGTGACAAGGACCTTGTTTATTTCAAGTAATAAATTTCTTGTAAAATGTTTCTTAAACTGATATGTTTTCTGGATAAGTAAGCTTGTTTTAAACCGAAGCTAATATTCCTACCTTGAAAGATTTTGCGGTACCAAATTTCTACCTGGGGCTAGCTCCAAAGATTGAAGCGACTACAGATTCTGAGATGTTTCATTTTCCATGATTTACTTAAAAATGATTAAAACCTTTAATTCATAATGAGTTGCTTATTACTGCCAGTTCGCTGCCTTTTTGCAATTCATTGACTTCGTGTTTTATTAACGATTATCTTCAAATAACCTCAATTCTGGACCTCAACAGTGATTAAGTACAACGAAACTACGTCAGTCCGCGCTTTAATGCATGATTTCGGCTACGAGTAAAAGGATTTCAGCTAAATAAAGCCAGGAATATATTCAATCGAAAACTAGACTTGTCCTTTGAAACGATTGCTTGACAAATTCCGACTTAAAAGAAACATCAAGTATAAAGAACTTTCGATTTACGAAAGAAACATGTGGTCATTTCAATTTGCATTAAAAATTGCTCATTATAAGTGAACCATCGAATTGACGTTCTATCACTACACCAAACCTATAGGCTTTGATTACCAGTACAAGCAAAGGCCAAGAACGTTTATTTTGAAACTTCACCGTACACATTTTATGTGTATATTCTCTAAGAAGGTCCTTACATCCATGTTTGTCCAAATACTTGAGTCATCACTCAAATAATGTTCCTTTAACCATCACTTTTATTACACAAAAGTACCACAGCCTAAACCACTCTGAACCAGGGATGTAGTCGTAAAAGGGAGGGCTCTATGAAAAATCTAAGCTGTTCATTGTCATGTAATCTTGTAACTTGAAAATGACGAGGGTTGATGTTTTTTCTGGTCATTTGAAGATGTTAAGCAATTTTCGTAAGCTTTCTTTTGAATAATCATGACCCATTAATGGCATTAATGTGATTTTGAACTGACACATTTTCTCTCATGTTAACCGAACAGAGCAGATTTTATCAGCTAATAGAAATGTCATACAAAACTGTTATTCAGTAGACTTAGAAAGTATTAATAGTTTGTAGATATCGAGAAACAAATTTTGAAATAAGAACAACATCAAGCACACCCGAGTCTGAAGTTATTCAAAAAATAAGAACATCAAGGGTCGGCAAAATTATCATGTTCTTATAAAATAGAGTGTAATGCATCAAATATTAAAAGCAGGCAAGACATATTCAAATAATAGCAACCGGTTTTTAAATTCAGACAATAAACCCTAGTTCTAAATGCAATAATAAAAGTGTCTACAGTGCTGAGGAGAGAGGAGTCAGGGGGGTCACTGACCCGGGGGCTTTTGGTTAAAGAAGCCCATAAATAATACCTCAATTAAAAATCATAAGTAATAATCCTGCCTCTCCATTATCACAAACTGTCAGTAATAGAAACAATAACAAAAAAGACTATGATATTTTTTCTTTTCTTTATTTAAAGTTGGTACAACTTCTAGCTATGCGTACTCAAGCTAATTAAAACCAACTTATTTAAATTACCAACGCTAGATATAATGTAAACCAAGTGTAACCGATGTTGCTAACGTATTCCTTGCAAAGATAACATGTACTATTAAACGATGTAAATTCTGAGATTTTTTTCTCGAATATTTGCAAAGTAGGGGAGTACTTTATGTCGTTTGGGACTGACATCTGCATGATACGGTATTAAATCCATTTATTTTGTAATGTGGCTCCGCTGTTTTGAATTGGGAGTTTCTTAAGAAATTCATTTATGGAAAATATTTCATCAATAAAAAGTGGATTCAATCCGTTAAATGTTTTGTAAATTTCTATCGCAAGATAAGGTAGATAATGAAGTAAGGTAAAAGAAGTTTGAGTCTCTGACTGCTTGAGAGTTAAAGATACTGTATTTTTGTTAAGAGTTCCTCATTTTTGTGGGCTTGACCTGAAGAAGTTGAAAAGCTTCTAATTTTGTTTCTAAATACTGTGAATACAACAGGGCAACATACAGCAATACACTCATTTTTTGATAAGAAACAAAAGTCGATGTTGAGTACTTCAGTTTCTTAATGTTCTGGAAATTTCGATATTCATTGCTTCTTAAGAGTTTCCAAATTATGATGTCATGAATGATGTTATGAGTTTTTCGTGACCTTTTTTTATCACGTTAAGAGATTCGCTTCCGTTTTGATGCTGTATTTAGATGTGGGAAGTATATTTTTATCTCTTGTGTCTTAAGTTCTAGGCTAAAAGGGCAATCATGTTCTTGGATTTTTCAAAATTTCGTTGTTCTCAGTTTTATCACGATTTAATAGTTTCATAGTAACAGTTTTATCACGACCCTGACTGTCTATACTAACCTGCAACTGAACCTACTCAGTAAAAAATCTTTCGATAATTTCTTTCTATGTATGTGTGAATTTTCATGCTTATAAAGCTTGCAATACGTTTGAATTGTCAGTTGTATCTCTTTTCTTCTTCTGGTTTACTCATCAATGGCTGACCTGCGGTGAAGCAACTATTCTTCACAGCTTACCCCCCCCACACTTTTTTCAAAATTTTTAACAAGGGTCCTGAGCCCCCCACCACTACATCCCTGCTCTGACCTTGCAGTCTAGTCAGCTGACCATAACTTGTTTGACTCTAAAATTGTCATTTTTCGTGGCGAAACAGCACAATTTCACAAAAAAGGCATTGACCCGCTGTTTTGCTCCTAGTCTTTTTACTGTAAATAATGTCATCAAAAGTTGTCCTTTATTCTTACTGTTGGCATTAGTTTACTAAAAGAAACTGTAAACTCATTCAACTTTCCCCAATCTATTGAAATCTGTTTTTCAATTAATCGATCTATTTTAAGCTTAATAACAGTGAAATAACTTTTCAGGGCCAACCCAGTCAGCTACCTTTTGGAAGACGGCTAAATGGCACTGAAGGCCACAACCGAAAAGCCGACCATCCAATTATTTTTGTGAATTTTCAAAATATATTTGAGTGGGAATTTGTGAGATAATGCTGAATGCTTTCGTGATGGCAATAGAAAATGAAGCACACTAAAAGCATCCAAATTTTTTGGAAGATTTGGCTACATTTTGCCTCTCTCTAATGATTTTCCTCCCGCTACTGCCCTGATATTCAAAGCTCCAAAAGAGCTTCATGGCATAGAACCCACCAGAGTTTTCAAGTGGAAGTGCAAGAGAGTGGTCCATTTTTCCTAAATAAAAGCATTCTTTAAGACGGCGTGAAATGCAGTTTGTAAGCACTTCGTAAAAACTTCGCAAGAACTTCATAGAAATTTTGCAAGAACTTCGCAAAAAATTCGAACATAACTTCGCAAAAACTTCGTAAAATATTTGCAAGAAATTTGTAAAAACGTCGCAAAAACTTTATCAACGCTCCCAAAACTAACCATCACAATCAGCAGTAATAGAACCTGCCTGTTGGTTTTATATGACATATTTATTTATTTTTTATATGACACACTACTGTTCAGATTGCCCAGGTGTTTAAGCATCCTTAAGGAACCCGGCCTAAATCTCTCTTTGAGATATTTCTAGGTCTTCTATGCAACAATGTAAACTCTTTCTAACAACCCTTAACTAATCAATCTATAGGTATTAAGTATGTTAAGTTTTCAAAAATTTTATTTATCCTATTATTTATAGTTTTACTCAAACAAGCTTGTAATGATCACATTGTTGCTCGACAGAAAATTAAAATTAAAAGTGATGATCTTGGATATCAATTTGATATTATAATACATTTTCAAATATTCCTTTAATTACCCAGACATTAAAAAAGAATGTTTGAGGATCACTTGGATTTTGACAAGGTTGTTTGGGGTTTTTAGAATATTTTATTAGATTTTAGGCTATCAATACCCTATAGAAAGATACGAGTGCTGGCATTGGTTTTAGAAAACAACATAGTCAAAAAATTCTAAAAGATCACAAAACGACGAATATGCATTAATCTGGAGGCAATGTTTGAAACCCATATTTTCCACTAAGCTTTAAGTCCTGAACTAGCTAGCCCTGTTCCTTATTAATTTGAAGTATTTGTGGTTAATTTGAAAACATTCGATGGGAGATCTTAGACGATACTGAATGGGGGTCATTCAATATGTTTGCACCGTAAGCAGCACAATGTACGAATCACGTATACTCATGGCTTACCCCATCTATAGCTAGGACAATGGCTATCCCTGATCAATTATAAATTACGAAGTTAAGGAGTATTTAATGAAAAAAACAGTCATTGTAACGTGCAACTCTCGGTCTACTTGTTTTTGTAGAATAACGATGTCTGATTGGATGCTATGTGTTCGCGTTCTGATGTACTTCGCCATTTGCGATGAATGTACCTGCCTGAACCTTCCAGTTTAATAAGCCATCGTTGACTATCATTTTAGAGAATATCAATGTACAATCCTTAATAGAGTGGCTGTGTGATTGTCTTATAAAAATATGTTTATAAAATTTTTGATTATTTATAACATAATTCGGCTGAGAAATGATATGTGAAGAACCTGGACTCTGCTGTTGGATC